GAGACAGATGAGATGATGGCTTCCAAATCCAAGAATAAGAGGCCTCAGACCCACCAGTCTAGTTCTGTGTTACATTGTACTTCTAATCATGCATGGTAGATTTGGAACATACTGTCAAGGATTTCTCCTTTATTCCCACACTAAGAGCAAGGTCAGGCATTTGTGGGGTGTCTAGCCAGGTCCTTGTTATGATCTGACCCTGAGACGGAGCAAACCCGTTGACTACTGAGAAGAAGTGGACCTTCTGCGTGGACCCACCTCGTCGGGCACAACTTGCCCTCCGGAGCAGGACCACGTGCACAGTAGTGGCCACTTAGAGAGAAGGGCTCCGCCTCCAGAGCTCGTCTTTGGCATATGTCGTGCTGCGGGAAGACCTCTGGATCTGGACGGCTTATTAGAAAATTCCTAAGGCGAGGAGGACATCTAAACGAGTCATTCTGCTTCAAGGAAGGCTGCAGTAAGAAAACAGGATTAATCAAAATAGGATTAATCAAAATAAGGAGGTGTCCTCTTCAAGATGAACTGAGTGATTGGGCCAGGGACGGGGGCAAGACCGTGAGTCTGGCCCGTGGGGCTCCCACTGGGGTGGGTGGTAAGTACTGTTGGTGGCCCCAATGGTGGAGGTGATGTGCTGATGAGACCACCCAGCTGGCCTGCCTCTGGGTGTGGCCTCGAGCATCTCAGTGAGATGGGTGACAGCTGTGTGAATTACAAAGGTCACACTGCTAGCCTGTGGCTGGACAGAGCAGGGCCCCTGGGTGGGTATTGGCTCTACCACCTGACCACCTGCATGGCTGTGACCTTGGGCCAGCCACCTGCCCTCCCTGAAATTGAGGGTCTTGTATTGTGAGCAGTGCCAAGTCCTCGCCTGATACCTGCCTGACACGAGGTCCTGTTGTTATTTTCATTGACGGTGATGAGAGTCCCCCCTGCCACCCTTCCTGACCAGCTTCTCCTCCATGGGTGGACTCAAGGCCATTTCCCCATGAAGGTCAAAAGGTCAACCAAGTGGAAGCTCAGAGGAAAAACAACCAATGCTTGACCTATTTCCCTCCAAGTTCTACTGAACTTTGTACCAGACTTTCATCGTGTCTTATATTTTTATTTTTACAGATTTTTTTTCATGAATGGCTACTTTCAAAGCTATTTTTAAAAAGACTTTTGTTTCAAAGAAGGTTGTCGGAGGTCCCGTTAGGAAAGGGTTGGTGTTTCCCGCCAGGGGGGCCACCCTGTGCTGGCAGAAGGAATCCCAGGCAGGGCTTGCACATGCCAAGAGTTCTCAGGGCGTCTCCCCAAACCTGGGCCCGGTCAGAATTCCCACAAGGGAGGGGACCGTAGGTACGGTTCTGAGAGAATCAGGCCAGCAGCCACTCCTGGAAATCACTCGTCACTTCCACAATGTCCAGACCCACCTGTTCTCTTCCGGGTCTGTTGCAAGTGAAGTTTGGGAGTGGCTCTTCAGGGCTGGGGTTGAGCGAGAGGGCTCCCCAAGGCAGCTGCTCCCCAAGCCCGGGCGCTCCCGGGCAGGCCCCGCCACGTGCCGTAGGAGGGAGGAGCAATATGGTAATGGGGGCAGTTCTTATTTAACTGTATGCTTTATGATTAGTTTAGCCAATGTAAATGTGGGGCCTGCGTATGTGCCGGTTCTGTGCTGAATGCTGGGGACTCCACGCAACGTTAAAAAGGAGTCTTGACCTCCGGAGGCAGCGTGAGCCATGTCTGCCGTGGCTCTGCTGGACAGGGATTTGAAACAACTTAAAAATTCATAGAAACAATGTATTTTAAAATTAGAAAAGTGGGACAGGGAGAAAGGGGAAATGAAGATGAAGTCAAGGAAGGTTTTTATGTGGGACGTAAGGCATAATGTTGCTACAGTTACCAGAGTTTGGCTACCAATCTGACTTAGAGCTTCCTAGGAGTCAAGACAAAGGGAGAAACAAGGTCAGTTGCTTGATTCATGGTGTCCTTAAAATACTGCCAGGTCAGTACTTCTGAAGAACAGTTCTTGATAGACACCCTGATAATCCTGATAAATTGTGGGTGTTCATACGGAAACCCAAGTGAGAGGGGTGGACAGTCAGGGTGTGGGCTCTGAGGCCCACAGAGAGCGCTGATACTGTGTGCCCATCCCGCCAATTAACCTGGGTATTTGTGGTCCTGAGAGGTGAAGTCAGCTGCAGTGCTCAGTGCCAAGGCTGGTCGCCCCAAACATTGAAAACAGGATGCTGAGTCACATCCTGCAGGCCTGCAGCATCCTGACTTTGCGTGCCCTTCACAATGGGAGGCGCGCATGGGCAGGCTGGCCCCTCGCTGTTCCAAAGTATGGTCTCAGAGCAGGAAAATGTTAAAATTAGGTCTTACATGGGCTAGAGCTGTGTGTGTGTGAGGTCCACAAAATCTGGACAGATGTACACCAGGAGGAGCTGGGAGAGCAGAGCATCCCGTCGTTTTCCACTGCCTAGTGCACGAGTCAAGGCTGCCGCCACTCCGGAAAACGCGAAGAGGGGAAGTAGCCCTAAGGCAGGGAGAGCTCTCCGTTGGTGAGGGAGAAAGTGTCCAAGATGGAAGGAGAAAACCAGGAAGTAGGACAGTGACAATGACCAGCGAAATGATCTTAATCCCGCCTTGCTCTACGCTCCTGATTGTGTTAGGTCTGAATTGTTGGGGAAAGAAAAGGACTTTTTTGATGCTGTGTTTCCCGAGGTGTGATCAGCACAGGTGCCATGCTGCAGAGCCAGGTGCCTGGTTCCTCTCCTGGCTTCTCCTCGTCTTGGCTGTGTGAGCTTGGCAAGAGACATCACCTCTCTGAGCCTCAGTGTCCCTGGGTATAATATGCAGATGGATGCTGAGCATTTGGTGAGGTAGTATGTATAAAGCGCTTAGCCTGGCACTCAGCACAGATGTTCGTTACCAGTGTTACATTCACCGAGCGTGCACTATCTTCTGGGCTCTGAGAGGGGTCTGGAGAAGGAGAAGTCATAGCCTGGGTCTCAGGACACCGAGGTGATGTGGAGAACTTAGTTGTGTTGTTTGAAGCACTTGGTTGCCAAGAGGACTCAACCACCGGGTGACTGTGACTCCACTTAGGGCATTGACTTGTGACTCTTCCTTGTCCAGTTCATCCTGTGCGTGGTGAGCGCTCACAGCTCCAGCTTCTCAGGGATTACGAAGGTGAGTTAGTCATGAAATGACTAAGAACGTGCCGTGAGACTGGAGAGGAGGACATACTCCTTTATGGGTATTTACTTAGAATCTACTGTGTCTCATACAGGGAAGGAGATTTTGAAAATTGTGTGTGTCCTGGCCAAGTCCCACTGTGAAGTTAAAGTACACTGACATGAAGACCACTTCACCACCAGTTAGTAGGTACATCGGTCTAGGAGCAGTCTGGGAACAGGGGCTTGGGCTCCTGTGACTTCACCTCTTAGCCTCAGGTTCCTTACCTGCAAAATGAGAGACGGTGCTATGACATGCTGAAAGGGAAGAGCCAGTGGCTTGTGGCCAGGGTGGGGAGGGAGAAGGCGTGGAGCTGAAAGGTTGGCATGACCTGGGGAGGCAATGAGAGAGGGAGAAGGCTGTGAATAGAGACCCAGAGAAGAAGAGTTTATGAGGACAATGGCATAGGTAGGGATAGAGCAGAGAATGGAGTATGGGAGAAACAGTGTGAAAGGTAATACAAGGAAGGTTTTTAGGACAGAGTCCTTTTTCCAATTGTATTATAAGCTCCTTGAGGTCAGGGGGTGTCAGATGAATGACATTTAGGGTAGCAACCTCTAAGGGCTAATTGTGGCTACTGTAGAAAGCCAGCACAAGATGATGACTCCATAGAGGCCACATCTTGAAAGTCCTGGAGCTGGGAAGTAATGTAACAAGAGCGGTGGTTAGGACCTGTGCAGAGTGGGTTACAGGCCAGAGGCCCCTGCGCTGATTCTCATTAGCCTCGAGCTCCTGGAGCAATGCTGGCCTGTTCCAGGGCTGCCAGCCATGCGTGGCTGTTTAAAACTTAATTTAACTGAAGTTAAGTAAAATGACACATTCAGGCTCTCCTCCTGGGAGTATGCCCAAACCTTTCCCCTCTCCCTTGCCCCTTCCCCACAAGGTGCAGTACCATTACCTTCCTCACTCCCATGCTTAAGTACTGACTGAGGTTGCTTAAGAGAGAGAGAGAGAGAAAAGAGCCCAGCTGGTGAGAGAGAGAGAGAAAAGCCCAGCTGGTGTGGCTCAGTGGTTGAGCATCAACCTGTGCACCAAGAGGTCACCAGTTTGATTCCCGTCAGGACACACGCCCCGGTTGTGGGCCCAATCCCTGGTGTGGGGCATGCAGGAGGCAGCCAGTTGATGTTCTCTCTCATTGATGTTTCTATCTCTCTGTCTCTCTCCCTTTCTCTCTAAAAATCAATAAAGAAAAAAATAAAAATAAAAAAGACAAATTATTTTACTGGTCACATTTACTACATTTTTTTTTTTTATCCTTACCCGAGGACATTTTTGTATTTTTTTGTTCAGGTAGAGTGGGAGGGAGGGAGGGAGGAAGAGACAGAGAGAAAGAGAGAGAGAAAGATTGACATGAAAGGGACACATTGAGTGGTTGCCACCCACACAACCCAACCAGGGCCGGGGACAAACTGCAACTGAGGTATGTGCCCTTAGCGGGAACCGAACCCGGGTCTCTTTGGACCACAGGCCGAGGCTCTAACTGCTGAGCAAAACCGGCCAGGGCTCACTTACTACATTTTAAGTGTTGAGTAGGCACCCATGGCTAGTGGCGATCACATTGGAGGGCACAGGTAGAAAACGTCCATTTTATTGGCCAGCACTGCCGTGCAGGGACATTGGGTACTGAGCACAGAGCCGGGTACACAGTGCGCCCCGTGGATGTTGCATGGCTCCCAGTGGTGAGAAGGGCAGAACAGGAGTGGTGACTAAGGGACTGGGAAGGAAGGGGGCCCTGGAAAGGTTAGGCGGTGGCGACTGATGAATATGGGATGGGGCTGCATACCAAAGAAAGGACTAAGAACCTGGGATGGTGGAGATAATCCATTCTTGGAATTTTTGAGTTGTTTTGAAAACATTTCCTCTGTGTGCCTGTTATTTCTGGCCAGCTAGATTGTCTCTGCTGCCACTGCGCTTCCTGCACAGTACCCTAACCAAGGGCACCTCGATCCTGGTATACCAGATGTACAGAGCAACATGGCGCTAGTTCTGGCTTCTGTAGGCGGGGCCTGAGGGCACTTGTAGGGCCATCAAGGAATTGTCCTAAGGTTTATCCGGCCAACTCAAAACACATCATTTGCTGTCTTATTTATGCAGTGGGAAAAATCCTGCTTTTGTGAGCTTGCTAGTATATTCAGCTGCTTGCTCCTACCCATTGGTATGAAGGAAAGCTGTGTCGCTGGCTTCAGAGAACGTCTCTCACTGTCTGAAATACTTCTGGACATTCCTTCTGTCTGAGAGAAGCCTACGCCTTCGAGCCAAACAATACATGGCCCAGCAGCAAAGACATTTGTAATGCCCTGCCAGCATTTCTTGCCTGTGACCCCATTCCCTAAGCATAATGCCCTGCAGAGCTGGAATTTCCCTGGTCTCAACATTAAGTGTTTAAAGGAGCAAACTGGGAGCCCTAGCTGGTAGGTGTGTCAGGTGAGTTTCTTGTTTTCTTATGCTCTGAGGAATGGTCTTTGGAACATGCGCTGCCAGACTGTACTGTGGAGCACACAATACAAAACAAGGCCTTGGTACAACTCAGGGTCTTTGTAACTTGAACGTGAATTCAAAATGAGAGGAGAACCTGTGGGAGAGCAATGGAAGGAATCTTCTGTCTCCCCCTGCAGCCTTCTTAGCCTTCTCCAGATAGTCTTCCATCTCCTTTACAGATTCATAAACTTCACTCTGCTAGGAATGGGGTTCTGTATCTGTCTAAACCATCATTAGTAGTGGTTGCTGCAGGTCAGACCGTCCTGCCCTCTGACCTAGGGATTCTGCAGGAAGAGTACCGAACTTAGAGCCTCTCAGTCCACTTCTGCCCTTGTTAGCCATATGACCACAGATAAGTTCATTTCTCTTCTCTGTCTTGGTTCTTTCATTAGAACAGATGGGGAACGCCCAACCCATGGGCCACATAAGGCCCGCGAAATCAATACCAGCTAATATCACACACCTCACCAAATTAGACTGACCAAATAGAGCAGGCTAATTTTTAAGTTGACAATTTTGTATGGCCTGCAAATGATGTTATAAATATCCAAATGGCCCTTGGCAGAAAAAAGGTTCCCTACCTCTGCAGAAGAATGAAAACTCATTCTTGTAAGAATTACAAGCAAAAATGTAGGAGCAAGCCCTCTATAAACTATAAAGCACCGTTCATATTGAAGGTATCATTTTTACTTACTGAAAACAAAACTCATTGAGTGTGTATGGTGTACCAGATGTTCAGGTGCTGAGAACATCTTAGGTTGACAACTTGATGGCTCAACCAGAAGCCCAAGGTTTGGTTCTTAGCTTTGCGTGTCCTGAAACTTGAATTTATTACCACACTCAGGGATGATCAAGTTCTCCAAGAAACCAATTCATACTAACCAAAGTGATAAGAAACTGACTTATAAACCAGAATAGATATTTATGAATGCAGGGGCCTTTTACAAATCCTCCTCTGTTCACTATAGGGGAGGTGCAACAATCTTCCAACTTTCCTGCTCCCCTCTTCACTGTTCATTGAACCTTCGAAGCCCAGATTGGGGTTGTTTCTTCCAGGGAGATCTCCCTGAACCCCCAGGCAAGGCATCTTTTGTGTGTGTGCACATGTGCGTGCAAGCCTGTGTGCTCCTGCAGAACTCTGTATGTTCCTCTACTATTTACTGTCCTGTGTCTGTGTGACCCACTAGAATGTCATGTTGCTCAAGGGCAGGAACCATGTCTGTCTCATTTCTGAATGCCCAGGGCTGAGCACTGAGCAGATGCAGTAGATATTTGTGTGTCTAAGTGGAATGAACAGAACCTCCTGTTGGGAGTGTTCATCGATACCCACCTTCACATCTTCCCCTATTTTCCGGACTTACCATCACATCCAAGTGCAATCAAGGGTTAATTCTATCCACAAAAAGGTAGCTCAGTTTGTATCAACCAGTCCAATCCATTTGGGACCCTTTTCAGAGCCTGTGCTTTAGGCTCACATTCTCCAATTCTGTGTAAGACACAGTGTCAGAAGTCCTAAAATCGTACCTTTGAAGTAACTCCCTATTTCCTCATCAATAAAGCGAGCATAACAATGCTGGCTCAGTCTACCTGGAAGAGTTTCTGGAAGATCAGATCAGTTGACATTAGCTCGAGTGCTCTGTAAACAGCAGAGCTTATCAGAGGTCTGATCTGTGGTTATTATTGTCATTTCATATCATTACAATGCAGGGCTGCCTTTCAAGGGCAGGGACACTTGTGACTCTGAAAGTATTTGGTTGAAGATGGGCCCTCACGCTTACCTGCCAACCTGTTCTGCTGCTTCCAAGGAGGGTATTATTTTGTTTTTTGACCTGGCATGACCTCCTTCATTGTACCTAATTGTGTTCCTCTCCTGAGTGGACTGTGCGTGATTAGCAGTGGTATCTTTCAGCAGTAGAAAACATTTATCGTGCACCTACTATGTGGAAGGGATTTTAATGAGGCCTGGGGGAGACACAGTTTCCTCTGTCTTCTGCTACTGTGAGATTCGGGGGTTCTCGGTCCTGGCTGTGTGTCAGCAGCACCTCTGGACCCTCTGAAAAGCAGCTGCTCCAGACTTACTGCAGACCTTTTGGATTAGAATCAGTTAAGGACTGGCCTGGGCATGAATATGTTTTAGAAGTTTCTTTGGTTCTTCAGATGGATAGCCAGAGGTGGAAATTGGGGCATGAACATAATTTTCTCTAGTGTGGTGTTGCTACACTTCTTAGTTCTGTTTTTCAAGGAGTTAAGTTTCTAAGTGGCCTGGCACACACCCAAACCACCCAAACATATACCGTTCCCTTAAAAGAGGATCATTACCTTTGCCCCAGTGGACACTTGGGCAGGCTTGGCTTAGCACTGTACTTCTTAGTCTGCAAATATTTTTGCTATTTGAATGAATAAATAGAATCTTGTAAGTGAATATCAGAACATACATGTAGTAGAACATAAATTACAACCCAGACCAGTGTATTTTGTTTTCTTAAACTTCGATGTGTACCAGACTCACTAAGGGAGTTGGTTAAAAATGAGGTTGCCCTCGCTGTCCCTGGAGACTATTTCAGGAGTTTGACTGGCTTCCTGAAGTTATCATAGGAAGAAAACTATGCCTGCCCCTCAGAGCTGTGGGAGCTAGACGCCTTGGCATAGCTAAGTGCCTGGTACAGCCTCTGCCGTGTGGCAGGTGCTTGGTAATGACAGTGCTGTTGATGAGAAGCAGTTCTGTGCCACCCACGGAACTCTGCAGGATCCCCATCCAGTCTGGAAGGGTCGAATGACCCTTGGTGGTTGTGGGCAGGGTGATTGGGGTGGTCCCGCAAGCCTTCTGCTTGTCCCCAGGGCTGGTGGAAGAACTCCAACACCGAGGCTTCTCTTCCTGAGGTCCTGTTTTCTTGCACAGTTCCTTCTCTCTGTTTCCTGCAAACGATGCTTCCACGTGCTGGGGACAAGCACTGAAGACCAGTCGTGTTCTGACCTCGCAGTGACTTGTGCTTTAGTGGAACCAAAGCAGCTGCACTGCAGTTAGCCGTCTGGACGGGTAGGGACGATGGGCATTCCAAGGGCCAAGAAGGTGGGTGTGGGACAGACATACTTGGGTTTAGTCCCATCTGGTAAAGATGTATGCTCCTGGGCAAGCTGTATCCTCAGCTGCAAAATAAGAATTGTAGTATGCGTTTCACTTAATCCTTTGGTGAGGATTTGGGAGCTGGGGGAAGCTTCCAGATAAGACCTTCCTCAGTTATTTCCTTTCTTAGGGTATGTATCCCATTCTGCCCTGTATTATGGTTATTTGTATCCTTACTTTATTTCACCGGCTGAAAGAAGCGCTGAAAACAGACAGCTCCTGGCTGGCTGCTGCCGGGTGTGTTTCAGGGTCCTGGGCCAGGCCCTCAACGACCTGGGCTTGCTTTGCCTTTGCAGCCTGTCCTGTCCTGAGCACCCGGCATGCAGGTGTCAAAGCTCCTCAGTGTGCGCACGTGGAGTCTCCTCTTCTTGAAACGCCCCCTCCCCAGACTTGCCTCCTCAAGTAGCAATTAGCTTGACTGAAGAATTTCCAGAATGTAAGCGTGCTTCTGAAAGTGCCAAGTAACTGTGGCAGCTGCCCACAGTCGCTGTCGGGTGAATGGATGGTGTTTTGATAGAAATCCTTCAATATGTCGATGGCAGCAAGCAAGGGGTCCTGGTCGCTCGGGGTCTGTGACCGGGCGGCCAGCTGTTTGCCCTCACGATTTCTAGTACACACCCTCTTGCATGTTGCTGAGGCCTAAACAGCCGTGGGAGGAAAGTGATTAGGGGAACTTCAGCTGCTTTGCTCCCTCTGAATGGCCCTCTTTCATCAGCATGTGCAGGGACAAGGGCCTTTTTCTTCAGCCCAAATATCAGGGGAAGACGAGGGTTCCACAAGAGCCATTTGCTCTCTGGGTGGGAGCATCCTCTGAGGCCGAGGGCTCCTTGCTGAAGGACCAGCCTCTTCCTCACCTTTCTGCTTTCTCCGAGCGAGTGGAGGGCGGGAGCCCGGGGTCCTTCAACATGTGACCACAGCAGTCATGAACCTTTTTTATTTTACCGACTTCTACGTCTCCCTTCAGCCACCACCTTACTTCTGCCCTTCAGAGGTTTCCAGTTAGTACGTATCACCACCGCCGGTCTCTGTTTTCCTGCCCCGTCTCGGTGTCTGGGTGCCTGGCTGTTGATGCTCTGAGGCCTGGGGGTTTCTGAGGAGCAGCGATTGAGGTTTCCTCTCTGTCTGCAGTGCCGGGTAGAAAGTTGCCGCTCGTGTCGTCTTCTGGAGCAGCAGGAACCGGAGTCTGAGGACATGCTTGTCCTGTGGACATAACAGCCTGGAGGATGGGGGTGGGGGAGGGCTGACTTTGTTTTTTTAATTCAAGATTTTTTCTTACAGCGACGGAGGAAAACAGTTCAGTTTTGTGTCTGGGTCTGACCTCTGGAACCTGAGTCACCCTTTTCAGGACCCCCGTATATCTGAGGAGATGGCTGGTTTTCTGTAGCTGGGGTGGGTGGTTTGTGGTTTTGTCCTTCTTTCCCGAGTACCTAGGAGAGTGTGTGTGCCATTGCCAGAGTGGATCTGTTAAAGGGCCTCCTTCCCCAGGTGGGCGCCTTGAGACCAATGGGTCTGGGGATGGGCCTCCGGTGGTAAGCCTGGCGGAGAGAGCCCCATGGAGCCCTGGCAGCAAAAATAGCCTTCACTTCGGCCACCCAGAGGGCACGTGAGGCTCTGGGCCTGCAGTGAGCTCAGAACAGAAGACGGAAACAGGGTCACAAAGAATATCTGCGTCTTGTTGTTATGAATCCTGTGACTGCCCCTGCTCTGTGCCCTCTTGGCCTCGGGAGTCATCGTGTGCGGTCATCCTCGCGCTGAGTCCTCTCACTGTCCCCCCAGGCGCAGGGCGATGGCACAGACTTGCAACGATGTGTTCTCTGGGCTGCCCCACCGCTTCCAGTCTCACTCTTTCCGCCCGGGAGGAGGACAGAGACAAAGTGTTCCAGGACCCATCCCTGCGGCTCCCCGACTTCATGTGTAGACGGGAGGCCCTGGCTCTGCATCCGTCTCAGGAACCCTGAGGAACAACTGGCCTTGTCAGTGATCACGGGATAAAACCAGCCTATTCTTCTGCATTGTTCCCCGTTTTTTCCAAAGGAAGTGCAAGGGAAACCAAGGGGAATTTTTGCCCATGATTTCTAAGGCAAAGGTCACTGTTAATGGCTGGCTGTTTCCAGAGTGCTTGGGTTTCTGGTCAGTATGGATTTTTGTTTTTCTTTCTTTTCTTTTTTTTTAAACTCACGAACAAAAGAGGCTGATGTTGCCTTGCAAAAATTTTCCCTAGCTTCTTCGAGGAACCGGTTGTGAAGTTTCATGGGTTTTGGAGTCCCTTGGGCAGCTCTCTCAGATTTTGCTAAGAATAAGTAGTATGTGATCTGTGTCTAAAACAGAATAGTTCGGAAAACAAACGTGGTTGTGAAATTTTAAGGAAAGAGAAGGCAACAAGTTTGAAGGGTAGAAGAGTGTTGGGTGATTCTGCCGCCTGCTAAAATAAGATAGCCTGGATTTCAAGTTGGTCAGATGGGTGCTAAAGAGCTTCTTGCCTTCGTGGGCGAGAGCGAGACAGCAAAGAGAGGATGCTTCTCATTTCTTCCATTATTTATCATCCTGGGCTCCTCGGCACTTGTAACTTGCAGCACAAGTATATGACTAATAGGTGGGAAGAATGGCTTGGCGGTACAGTCGTGAGCATAAATAAAGAAGTGATGTAAAGCACTGGTGTTACGAAATCTGCAAAGCCAGTTATCAGTAATTCAAAGGCCCAAATAAGAGAGGCAGAACTCGGCCTTATTACTTGATATCTGAGCAGTCCCTATTTTTAGCATAGGAATCCAACCCAGGAAAACCAGCAGATTTGATTGTGGACTTACATTCTAGAAGATAACCATTTTTCTGATTCCAGGGTTTGCTGACTTACTTGCTCGTTTGTGTGGTGAGTTTTCTTAGCACCTAGAGTTACATATTAGACTTAACCTAGTTTTCTATTCCAGGATTAGAACGTTTAACTACTCACGTTAGATGTCTGGGGCAAAGGTGATCTTGCTTTTTTTATGTTACGGAAGACGTTGTTGTGTTTCTATCAGGAATTGATTTGTTCTCTGTTAAAACAAACAAAAAAAAGTGCTGGGTTTTCTTAGAGATTTTCTCTCCAAATCATTTATATGTTAATTGGTTGCTCAAAAGAGAATTGATGGTTTTTACAGTTTCCTAAAATTTAAGCTGTGATCTTCTTTCACAAAATTAATAAAAATAAAGTGCTTTTTCCATTGTAACATGTAGTGTATGTTTTCTATTACTTTGAAAATAAAAAACATAATCATTTTTAAAAGTTAATTTTTGCTCAGTGTAGCAGATTTAGAAGATACTAAGAGGTAGGAAGAAGATTATCATAGATAGTCCAACCCATCAAAAAACACTGTTAATAATTTTGGTGTATTTTATGGGTAGTTTTCAGAGTTGATGATATTTTTGGATAATTGGTAGTAATTAATAGATAATACAGTCAGTCACTTTATACAGTCTAAATTTCTGCACAAGCTAAAGATTTTTTTGAAGTGTTTGGAAATCTTGAAAAAATTTAATTTTTAAATTTTTTTTTATCCTCAGCTGAGGACATTTTTCCATTTTTTTGTTCAGATAGAGCGGGAAAGAGAGAGAGGGAGAGGGAGACAGAGAGAGAGAGAGAGAAACATCAACGTGAAATGGACACATTGAGTGGCTGTCACCCACACGACCCAACCAGGGCCGGAGACAAACTGCAACCGAGGTACATGCCCTTGGCGGGAACCGAACCCGGGTCTCTCTGGACCACAGGCCGACGTTCTAACCGCTGAGCCAAACCGGCTAGGGCTTGAAAAAATTTTAATTGCAAACTTTTAAGTTATAGGTTGAATGTAAATATTGTTGGTAATTAAAATAACAGGACCGAAGGTTCATTCTACTGAGAAATTCATTGGGTTGACTTGAGGTTGTCTGCAGCATTAGTGGATGCAGCAGCCTTGACTCAGTTAAATCACAGGTCAATAGTCACTCATTTTCTTAACACATTGTTGACTGCTCACAAGCTAACTCGTGTTTTCATGCTCAAACGTTGACCGCTCCCAAGTTAACTTGTAAAGAAGTTTCTCGGTCTGTTGATATTGATGGGATAAACGAAAGAAATCACATTGGAGGGATTACTGGTCAACAGACCCTTTGGTTGAAGTTCCAATATTTCCTAAAACTATGAGCAGAATGAGGTTCAAGCAAATTCTCACATTTTTCCATCTTAGTGATAATTCACAAAATACATCTAATGAAGACAGACTGTATAAAATTAGGCCTCTTTTGGATTACTTTCTTCTAAAATTTCAGTCTTTGTATGTACCTAAGCAGGAGTTACCCCTACACGAAAGCACAGTGAAACCAGATATATTTGCAAAACATGTTGGTACCATTACACGTAGGTGATTGCTATACGGTATAGCACAGCAATAAAAATTACTAAAATTATAATATGTGTAAAATATAGTATGTAGCAGATATGTACAGAGTTTTATTTAAATTCATTATGTATAAATAAAGTTTATTCATTATGTATAAATAAACTGAAGTTTATTTAGATTGTTTCACTTTCATACTCAGTTATGAAAAAATACCTGATGACTTGAGATAAGTTCTGCGTAAAATTGCCGGTCAACAATGTGATGCAAACATATAGCGAAAGTGTACTTTCCTCTTCCTTGTATTCCGTAAAGGGAAGGCACCAAGAAGCAGTGAAGTTGTTCAAAGTCATGGAGTTAGAAACAGAGATCAACAGCAAGACTATGAAAAATTCACCAAGTGAATCACCCTGTCCTAACAGAGAGTCAGTCCCTATTTTTGGAAGATGTTGTATTACAGTGAGATCCCCTTAGTATTCTGCAGGAAAGGGCTCTTGGCTCTGTAGAGCGCACGTAGACCTTGGGTGTTTTAGCAGAAGCATGTTTCATTGTGCACAGTCTCCAGCAGCAAGCTTGTAGCAAAGGTCTGGGAAGACGGTTACATGAACATTTTCTAAAAGCTGTTTTATCCCACTTGAATTTTATATGCTGTTTGTCCACACTCCAGCATCTCTTCGGCAGCATGTCTTTGCCCATTTTCCTCTCTGAGTTTCCAGCCTAACTGTGCTCTGGTTTTATTCTTCCCAGCTTAAGTGAGAGCTTTTTCATGGTGAAAGGAGCAGCCCTCTTCTTACAACAGGGAAACAGCCCTCAAGGCCAGCGAAGTCTCCAGCACCCCCACAAACATGCAGGTAATTTGTTGTTCTCACATTGGTGCTCATTTTCTGTGCTGCTAGAGGAACCTTCCATTCCTGGGGTGAGCTGTTTGTTGGTTTTCGAGGCCTGAGAAATAGTGGGACCAGGTTTGTAACGACTGGCACAGGTAGAAGTCCTTTCGTGAGCAGGCAGGTGCATGTTGGCCAGTGGCACTGGGAGCAGGTGACCCTTTGGACAGTTCATGTCTACCTAACAAGGAAGGCAGTCAGCAGCGCTTGGTTTGGATGTAAAGATTTCCCACTCAGTTTATCACTTAACTGCATATTTTAAATTGCAGTATGACTTTTTAAACAAATGTACCAGTACACATTATGTTATGTCAGGTGTTGTCCCCTTGAAAACAGCCACCTTGAGGAGCTGTATACCTGGTAGTCTGGGGGTGCTGTCATTTCTCTGAACATTTGGAAAACTCTCATGTAGAGAATTTCTTTCTTTTTTTCTCTCATTCTCTACAACCCACTGTTCCTCAACAGTTAATACTAAAAGAAAAAGTTTTTCTGTACATATATATATATTTTTTTTTTATCCTCACCCGAGGACATTTTTCCATTTTTTTGTTCAGATAGAGCGGGAGGGAGAGAGAGGAAGAGAGAGAGAGAGAAACATCGATGTGAAGGGACACATCGAGTGGCTGCCACCCACACGACCAACCAGGGCCGGGGACAAACTGCAACCGAGGTACGTGCCCTTAGCAGGAACCGAACCCGGGTCTCTCTGTACCGCAGGCCGACGCTCCAACCGCTGAGCCAAACCGGCCAGGGCTAAAAGAAAAAGTTTTTATAAAAGGCAGTGGAATGAAAAAATAGTAATTATTAAACATTGCCAATACCATCCAGAAAGAAACAAAATTTAGTGCACATCTGACATGAGCAGCTGATAGCCTGCCTGGCCTTACTAAGCAACACACGTTCAGACTGGGTATCCCCCCCCCCCCAAAAAGCCAGGAACTAATGGAATCCTCATTCATTTAGCTGGGGCCTGAGGGAACCCCAGTGCCAACAGAGAGATAGATTCTTTTTTTTATTTTTATTTTTTATCCTCACCCGAGGATATTTTTTCCATTTTTTTTTTTTTTGTACAGATAGAGTGGGAGGGAGAGAGAGAGAGAAACATCGATGTGAAGGGACACATCGAGTGGCTGCCACCCGCACGACCAACCAGGGCCGGGGACAAACTGCAACCGAAGTACGTGCCCTTAGCGGGAACCGAACCCAGGTCTCTCCGGACCGCAGGCCGACGCTCTAACCGCTGAGCCAAACTGGCCAGGGCGAGAGATAGATTCTTAACTGGTCTTCAGACAGAATGAAACCATAACACTGCTTGTCTCTGGGTGTTGGGCCTATAGGTAGTAAAGTTTTTAAATTCTAGTTTCCAAACTTTCTGTAACAGGATGTATTACTTTTATAATGCAAAGAGAACTCTAGCCAACCCCATTCGAGGAATTTTTTACAAGCCTTTGGCATGCACTGAGATGGGAAGTCTTTATTTTTTTAGTGGTGGGTTTGGTTTGGGGAGTAAGAAAGTGGTCAAGTAGGGATTGAACCTAGTATTAATTTAGGTTCAAAAGCTAACAAATAAGGAATGCCTATAAAGTAAAAATACTTTGGTGATTGTCTCTGAAACTAAAGGCAATTTGAAAAGAAGACGTCAGAAGACATTTGTGTATGAGTTAATCTTTGTAATAGGTAGGTAGCTGCTCCAGCTGCTTCTTGGATGGGGGCACACGTCTGAATGTGAGCTGGAAGGTCGCATTCAGAACAGCAGGTCAAAGCCGCTAGCCACTGGGGCCAGTCTTCTTGTCACTCTGTTCATTTTGTTTTTCTAACCTCAAGTCATCCAGCCTCATTTTGGATCTGAGTGCTGAGGTTAGAATTTCATATCTTACAATTTATAGCAAACACCAAGACTCAATCAATATTTTCACTTAATGATATTTATAATCAAGATTTAAGTCTATTTTAAGCCAAGAAAACAATTGTCCTGCACAAGGAGGCATTGTGGTTTGGGGAGAGGACATGTGCTTTGGAGCCAGACAGACCTGGCTTCTGATCTCAGTTCTGCAGCTTACTGTGTTGTCATAGTCAACTTCTGAGCCTCAGTTTCCGGATCTTTACAATGCGCATCAACTACCAGAACCTCAGGATATGGAATTTAAAATGTATGCAGGTAACATATTTACCTCCTCATAGGTACTCAGTGTGTGGTAGATATAATGATTACTGCAGTGACTTCTCGTACAATACAGCTATAAACAGAACCTTTACTCTTGAATTTGCTGTTTTGCCCTGTTAGAAACCTAACCATTGTTTATGTCTTAACCATAACATGTACAACAAAGCAAATGCCCAAGCTTTCTTCACTCCGTGTAAAATGTCTCCTTCCTCTCAAACGATATTTTCATGCCGTGTGCAAGCATGAGGACGCGCAGGACTATTTTGTAAGAGCCCTGAGTCGAGCTGGATCATGCATTTCGTGAATGTGTGAGAGTAGGAAGAAAGCCACTGGCTCGTAAACTCCTCTGCCCCTGGGGTCTGGACTGGCTGGTGAGCTCAGAAAGGCAGAGGGACTGCTGGCTGTCCAAGGACTTTCAGTAAACAACCCTGGGGCATTCACAGACGAGACTTCTGTCAATTCCTTTTCTTCTAGAACTACCGTCACATCCCCTAGATGACCCACAGTCCTGTCAGTAATCACCACACAGGGCTGGTTAATTCGGTCCAGGTAAAAGTAATTGCATTCGTGTCAGCCAGTCCAGTCAATCTGAGCCTCTTGCTAGGGCCTGCACTATGTGCTTATATGCTCTGATTTTTTTTTTTTTTGGCAAGTACTTAACACTTCAACATAGACTGTTTGTGGATGCCAGGCTGAGGTTGGGATTTCTGGCCATCAGCCGTTCCACATCGCCACAGGCAGTCCCACTGAGAGTCTATCTGTGTGGAGAATGTCCCTTTCATTTAGGCACCCACCTGACAAGGGACTGGTTTTTGCTTTCATCTGTGTGCTTCTGTGACTTAGAGTGGGTGGTGGTGGGGCCCAGGCAAGCCAAGAACCAGCCGTGGTGGTTGTGAGCCATTGTGGCATTGGTGACATGGCAGGTGAAGGTGCTGTTAGGCAGAGGAAGGGTTCGGGGAGCTCTGTGTCCTTTACTGTGAATCCTGACCTCCAAGTCACTCCTTATAGAAAGTGGTGCCGATAAGGTGTGTGCGCCATGGAATCCTGTAATGGAGAGAAAAGACAGAAAGGACAACTTTCTCTTTTTTTTCAATTACAGTTTACATTCAATATTATTCTGTATTAATTTCAGATGTACAATAAAGAGGTTAGGAAACGATGTACTATACAGAGTGGTTCCCCACTGCTTTGAACACCCACCTGGCCCCATACATATTTATCTCGCTATCACTGACTACATTCCCTGTGCCGTAGTCTCCGTCTGTAACTGCCCATTTGCACCGCTCAATCCCTTCACCTTTCTCACCCAGCTTTCCAGCCCCCTCCCCTCTGACAGCTGTCAGTCTCTTCTCTGTATCTGTGAGTCGGTTTCTATTTTGTTTGTTGGTTTATTTTGTGAGGGACAATTTTCTAACAACCTGATCCCTCTGTGACGCAGGAAGTACAGTTTGGACATCATAAAATTAAAAGATGCTTTTACAAGAGGAATGAATCCTATATATTGATCTTCCTGGGGTTCTAATTGTGCTTTATAGAGTAATTAAAAAAAAAGATAATTCTAGCCCTAGCCGGTTTTGTTCAGTGGTTAGAGCATCATTGCGAGGATCAAAGAGTCAAGGGTTTGATTCTGGTCAAGCGCATATACCTAGGTTGCAGTTTGGTCCCTGGCCCTGGTGTCCCCAGCCCTGGTCGGGGTCATGTGGGAGGCAACCAATCGATATTCTCTCTCTCTCTCTCTCTCTCTCTCTCTCTCTCTCTCTCTCTCTTCTTCTCTCTCCCTCCCTCCCACTCTGTCTAAAAGTAAATGGAAAAATATCCTTGGGTGAGGATTAAAAAAAGGATAATTCTATTTCCTTAGGGTTGCAGTGTTTAACTGGTGTGCCACAAGAATTTTTAAAACATGCAATACCTGACTAGTCAGGTGCACTGACCTCTGTTCCCTTAGATTTTCAAATTAAAAAATGATAACAGCCAATACAACAATAGCCGTCCAGTGTGAATGAATCAAAATTATACCTATTTTTTTGTCAGATTGGCAAAAAGATATATTTTGGTGTGCCACAGAATTTTAGTAATTTGTGTGTGTTGTGAAATGAAAAAGGTTGAATATCGCTGCCTTGGAGTGTTGCATAAATCAAAATTAATACAGCCCTGGCCGGTTTGGCTCAGCGGTTAGAGCAACAGCCTGCGGTCTGGAGAGACCCGGGTTCGGTTCCCGTTAAGGGCATGTACCTCGGTTGCAGTTTGTCCCCGGCCCTGGTTGGTCGTGCGGGTGGCAGCCACTCGATGTGTCCCTTTCACATTGATGTTTCTCTAAACTCTCTCTCTCTCCCTCCTGCTCTATCTGAACAAAGAATGAAAAAGTGTCCTCGGGTGAGGATAATAAAAAAAAAAAAAATTAATTAAAAAAAAATAAAATAAAATTAATACAGATTTTTCTATGAGTTATTCCTTGCACTTTTCTACATCAGCATCTGTACAATGAACCCTTTTTCCCCTCGAAAGAAACCCATGCAGACATTTCTGTGGAAATGTATACGCTAGGAGAAAAACGGCATTAGAGTCACACTTGCTGCTTCCAGCTTATGAAGCTCAGTGTCAGGCCGTCTGCCTGGAGCACACAGCTCCTGTTGGGTGGGGCCTGCGTGGCCGCGGACACTCCCACCTCTGAGAAACCGCTCCCCTCGCTCCAGCCCAGAGGCACCTTCTGGACAAGGGGCCACTCAGAGAAGTTCGAAACCTGGCCCTGGAAGACTGCCTCTTTTAAATAACCAAGGGGTAGTCCTGGCTGGTTTTGCTCAGCGGTTAGAGCTTTGGCTTGACCGAAGTGCCACGGGTTCGATTCCGGTCAAGGGCACAGGCTCGGGTTGCACATTTCCCTGACCCTCACCAGGGCTGTGCAGGAGGCAACCAATCAACGTGTCTCTCAACATCGATGTTTCTTTTTCTCTCTCTACCCTCTTCCATTTTACTCTAAAAAATAAAAAAATCAATAGAAAAAAAAATTTCCATAAGGGGGAAAAAAAGAAAAGAGTGTAATTTTTAGCAAGAAAAGAAAAAAATGACAGATTGCTGTGTACTCAGGTTATTTCTCTGGGCACTAGACATGTCCACAGAGTCACTTACACATCTCCTCTCCTGGTCTTGGAGTCTGTCTGTCTCCGCGGAACACAGGAGAGTCGAAGGGGACCCGCGGCACCAGCCCTCTCTCTTTCGGACCAGTTCCTGGCAAATCCCCTGCTTCGTCCGTGTCCGTGGTCTCCGCTGCCCCACCCTGCAAAGTCATGTTGGCTTGAATTTAACAATATTTCTCCTCTGGGCTTATGTCTGTATTCACCAAATTTTGAATTTAAAAACCTACGTAGTGAGTATGTCAGAAAAATAAAAGCAACTTTTAAAAACATGGCAAAAGCTGTATCTCACTCATCCTCCTTATACATGTCAGGAGTGGAGAGAGAGCTTGAGATCGAGACTCGATGGTTTCGTGATGTTCCTCCCGTGGTGTCGGTAGAGACATTTCGGCATTGAGCTCTTCTCCCAGGCCCGTAAAATCAGCCTCTCAGAGATGTCTGCCTGGAAAGTAGGTGGGTGACCTTCTAAGACTTTCTTCGTTGGTCCAATAGGTGATTTGCCCCAGCATCTTCAAGTAATGATCAACCTTCTGCGTTGTGAAGATAGAATCAAGCTGGTAAGAAGAGACAAGAGTGGCAAGTTTGATTTTTAATTGTGAAATTTGACTCATGAGCAATTGGTATGGTGGTGAGGGGGGTGAGCTGTTATGTTTTAGCAAATTCTCCTAAATTGTTCACAAAAGCCAGAGGGAAGTTTGCTCCTCAGCACCCAGAAGGTCCAGAGAAGGGATGTATCCAGTCTCTAGGTCAGCCTGTGCTAAACTGGCATCTTCGTTCTCTGGATTTTATTATCCACTCATTTAACAAACTTGAGGTGGGGTCTCCTCTGAGCCAGGCACCGACCCTCGCGTTCGGGGGATGAATGGGCTGTGGCTCCTGTGCCTCAGAATCTCGCCTTAATTCCTAAACTCCCCGGAAAAGGCAGTAAGCAGAAGTCCTTGATCTTGGTTGGGCGAGGAAAGGGGGCACGACCCGAAGGCAGGCCAGTGAAAGCGTGTCTGCCGTGCAGGCCGTGCGCTTGGAGAGCGCCTGGGCGGAGCGGGTCCGGTACATGGTGGTGGTGGACAGCAGCGGGCGGCAGGACACGGAGGAGAGTATCCTGCTGGGAGTCGACTTTTCCAGTAAGGAGAGGTGAGTCTGATGGGACAGTGGTCCCCTTCTGCGATGGGGACAAGAACTGATGCTGAGAAAAGATTTCCATGGTCCTGTATCCTTGGGAGATGACAGTGGGGTGCGTGACGGCAGGTGGCGGGGTGCCCCGGAACAGGAGAGCACGGCACGGCATTCCAGCTGTCGTGTGCCGGGTACTGCGCTAGATCCGTCTGTTCTCAGAGCCCAGGGTCTACTGCGAGGATGGAAAAGTTACTCCGTGCTTAGAGGTCCAACACTGGGTGCTATCGGGGGTGCTCTAGAAGAGGGCACCACAGCCAGGAGGGCTTCCTGAAGGAAGTGTCAGCCATGGTGAACATCCAAGTAAAAGCAGCCAGCCCAGTAAGCAGGGAGGACGTCTCGCAGGCAGACGGGCCCATGTAAGAAGTGGGTGCTTGATAGGCATCCTGTCAGCTGCCTTATCCAGTATTGCTATCCCATGGCTTCCCAAGTACTTGGAGACGGGCCTGGGTCAGAGGCTTAAAGAGAGGTTTGGAATTTCCCAATAACTAGAAGCCAAGTTCGTTATTGCATAGACTCTATTATTTGTGTGAAATGAAGGCAAACGGCTTTTCTTACATCTAGGATAAGTTAATACGTGTGAGATCATTGCAAAGCCTGGATTTGTTAAAACTAGATTAAATGGACACCCCTTAGTCATCATTCATTAATCTACTCATCCATTAAGCACACAGTTTATTTGCATTCTCCTGTGTATGAGGCAATAGGCTAGGCCCAGGTAAACAAAGAAGCATAAGTGCACACACTTCTCGACCTCAGAGAGCCTGTGAGCTCGGTGAAGAAGAGAGCCATAGACAGATGCTAGGGAGATGGGCTCCGGGTGCAGAGATGTAAGGGGTGTGGGAGCACAGGAGAGGGTGAGTGGAGAGGGGCCAGGCCAGAGGCCTTGCAGCAGGCACTGGCTAAGCCAGATCGTCAAGGACGAGTGGGCTGTTGGGCAGGTTCAGGGGTAGGATGTGTCGGTTTGGGGCCCTGAGGAGTCTCCTCCTTGCCTTGCCCTAGCACTGGCAGCCAAGAAGCTCCAGGAGCTCTGAGTCTCAACCCAAGCTGTATTTTGCAGTTCTGCAAAGGAAATATAATTAGCCCATCAAGAATGAGTAGGACTGCAGGGTGGGACCTGAGAATTGGCCTAACACGAAAGGCTCAGTCTAATTTTCCCTGAAGGCCTTGAAACAGATACAGAAGCAGAGGGTGGAAGAGTCCAGCACAGTAGACGCTCCGGGGGAGGGGGGGGCTGCTCCGTGAGCCCAGAGCGCCCTGTCTGCAGTCACAGCTCGTAACATTACTCCCTGGGCGGGCTGTTAAGTGGTAGCAGAGATGTAAGCTGGAGATCCCTGGAGGTTGTCGGAGCTGGCCTTGGCATGGTTACAGCGGTTTCTCACAAGCCGACTCTCTCGAATTCCTGAGGAATGTCCGTAATAATCTGAGGAGCCCCTCCGATAAAGCCCTTTCATTCCCTCAGCGTGTTTCAGCGGCGCCGGTCTCCAAAGTATCGTTTCACTGTGAGGACGAGCAAAACAAAAGCAGATTAAGCGAGTTCTTAAAACAGCAGCTGCACAAAAGAGACAGAAACAGAGGTCTGGAAAACAACCCCAGTAACGGTGTTGGCACGCAACCCTTCCCCTGCACCCCAGGACAGGAGGCTGGGTTGGCTGCCACCACTTGCCTGTGTACCCCAGGATGTGTTTGGCCATGTGCCAGGAGTGTGCCAGCCGTTGGTGGCTTCGCCCCTGCTGCCGTGAGGTTGTGTGGTCAGCTGGTTGCTCCTTGTCCCCTGAGACCTCATGTTTATGGAGCTGCAACCACACCAGACGGTGGGGTCAGAGTACCTTGTGACTGTCTCCAAGAAGGGGTCACTGACAACTCCCTCTAGTGGGGCCATCTCAGCTCGTGTCTTCTAGAATTCAGTGGTGAGCAGTCCCTACAGACAGTCTAAGAGCTTCTCCCAGACACACCCAGCAGCCAGACCCAGGTCAGGGGCCAGTCCCCTCTGTAAGCTGAATGGGCTGGTAAAGACACAGGGACGTCTGTGTGTGAGCAGGTGAACCCTAACCCTAGACATCTCTCTCCTCCTACGTAGTAAAAGCTGTACTATTGGAATGGTTCTCCGACTGTGGAGCGACACGAAAATCCACCTTGATGGCGATGGGTAAGCAGATCCCTTTAAAAGTTCCTTTTCTTCATTGTAAACTCTGAAACACGAGTTGGTTTGGGCATCGCTGGTTAATCGTTAACAATAGAATCATGTGTGATGTGGCTGTTGCTTGGGTGAAGGAATACGGCCCTCCAGTGAGCCACACAAGGAAGGGGACCTTCTGGACATTATGTAAGGCAGGCTGGGTCACGAAGTAGCAGCGGAAGCAGAAGGCAGGAGATCACTGCTGCGTGAAGTTCATTCATTCACTGGACTTAGTAAATGCGTGCTCACGATGTGCCCTCCATTTGAGGCTGGGCCCTGAAAGTTCACAGATAAACCTGCCACAGCAGGAGCTCGCAGTTTTGGGGGTGCAGGGACAACAGTGTTTCAGGCGCCGCTGTGGGGGCTGCAGAGGAGGAATCCTTTAGTTCATCCTGGGCAGGTAGATGAGAGGAAGGGCCATGGATATTTTCCATGCAATTCCCAAAAACAGGATTGATGGGCTGCGTGGGGCAGAATGTAGCAGGTGGGTCGGGCGGTTGCAGGAGCAAAAACAAGATGGTGTCAAATGCTGTCATTGCCTCTCACCTTTTGCTGGGTTAAAACCAAGTCTTCCAGAATTGAGAGCCGAGCTTTCTTTTCCCTCCTTGCTTTGCCCTCATCTGATGCAGCCAGCCTGCAGTCGCCCATCAGACGGCGTGAGACACACTTGTCCTCAGAGTGTCCCGGTGGGCCTGCCCCATCGTCTCCCAGTGGTGTGTTTCGAGGGTCTGATTTCTCACCATGGTATGTTTTTGGTTTTCTCTCTCAGCGGGTTCAGCGTCAGCACAGCAGGAAGGATGCACGTCTTCAAGCCTGTATCTGTCCAGGCCATGTGGTAAGTGTGGTTTTAGGGACTTTCAAGTCCTTAGAAATAGTTTCCTAGCTGACAACTTGGCTAGAAAACCCCCTTCTACTTTGAAGCTCATTTGGGTACACTTGTTTTGTGTGTATAACGAACTATGCATAACAAAGTTCACCGTCCTGACCGTTTTCAGTGTGAATTCAGCGGCATTGAGCACATTCACATTGCTGCGCAGCCATCGCCTGCCGTCGTCTCCAGAACTCTTCCATCCCAAACAGAACTCTGTCCCCACTGCACTGACTCCCCGTTCCCTTCCCTCAGCCCCCGGGAACCTCTGTTCTACTCTGTTTCTGTCACTTTGCCTGTTCCAGGCCCCTCATGTCAGTGGAATCAGTTGTCCTCCTGTGTCTGGCATCTTTCTCGTAGCATAGTGCTTCCAGGGCTCCTCCCCTTCCTTTTGAGGCTGAAGAATACTCCACCGTGTGGGTAGACCCCGTTTCGTTATCCACCCATCTGCTGATGGGACTTCTGAGTTGTTACCAGCGTTCAGCTGTTGTGACTGCAGCTGTTGTGAACATTGGTGAACAAAGTATCTGCTTGAGCCCCTGCTTTCGGTTCTTTTGTGCATATTCCTAGAAGTGGCATTTCCAGATCACGTGCTAATTTGGTGGTGAATTTTTTTAGGAACCACCAGACTTTTGCACAGCAGCTGTGCCATTTTACAGTCCCACCAGCAGTGTACAAGGATCCCAATTTCTCCACAGCCTAGTCAGCACTTGGTGTTTTCTGTTTTTTTTTTTTTTTTTTCATAATGGCCATACTAATGGGTGTGAAGTGGTGTCTCATTAGGGTTTGGATTTTCATTTCCCTAATTAATTAATGTGGAGCATTATTCGATGTGCTTATCGGCCATTTGTACATCTTCTGTGGAGAAATGTCTATTTTTGTCCTTTGGTGACTTTTTAATTTGGTTGGTTTCTGTTGTGAGAGGTGTGTGGTTTTTGCATGTGTACAGTTCCTCCTGACAAGTGTCATTCCAGCATAAATTCACTTCTATACCTGGCACAGAGCAAGCATTCCGTGTGCTCCGTGAAAGGAAGGGCGCTCTGCTAGGCACTGAGCATCTTGGGAGACAGAAAGTGGACTTAATTCCTACCCATGTGGAGTTTCAAGCTGCAGAGGGAGGTGGCTATAAACACAAGACAAAGTCCTATGTTACACCAAGGGGTGCTGTTCTCACGGGGTGCTGGGCCTGGATAGGGCCTCCCCGGACATTGTGCCTTAAGGATGAGGTCACTGTGGGTCAGGGCTGCATTGGGCAAAAAAGTCACTCCAGTACTTCCTTGAACCTGGCACACACATCTCAGCCTCCCTCGTCCTTGGAGGGTGACACACACCACCCGTGCAGCAGACTCAACAGTCTCGAATAGTCTGGAAAAGGCTCAGGGGAAGCCGGTGGTGTCTGATGAGAAGACTTCTGCCCATTGTTTCAAAATAATTACTTTTTTCTAGGACAGCGGGAGTTACAGGGAATTCTCCCACGGGCTTCATGTTTCCCTCTCCTGCTGCTCACTCCGCAGTCCGTCCAGGGTCACTTTGGGGAGATCGTGGAACAGTAACTCTCTAGATGTCCCAGATGTTTCTCTGTGTCCCTGGATGAGTTTTTAAAAATCTTTCTCTACAGGCAAGTAAAAAATAGGCCCACGTGCTTTTCCAAAATTTCAGAACCAGAACTAAGTTTAGTAAACAGCTCACGTCTGTTCCCTCAGCCAGCCTAGAGGTGGACAACTGTGTACCACTGGGAAGAGGGGCGAGGATCGCAGTGGGTTTCACACCATCATCAAGCTGTTCTCTGCTAGCTCTCCACCCTCCAGCGACACCTGACATACCCCAATCACTGAGAAGTTCCCAACGTGTGTGTGTGTGTGTGTGTGTGTGTGTGTATGTGTATTCATTCCTCCCCCCAGGGCCTTACAGTAAAAACCAGAAGACCTACTAGACAAATTCAAAAAGAGCTATAAGCACTTTTTGTTAAAAAAGTAAATTTTTTTCAACCTGTATTTTTGTTAAAAAAAGTAAAACAAGAATGACTAAATTGACCATTATGACAGGCATTTATAATGTTGTTCCTTCTGTCCAACCGTGTTCCCTCTTCTCCTGTTGGTCTCTGTACTAAAATGACTTTCTAGAACTCGTTTCCTTAGGAAATCTAAGCTGTGAAAATGCTGATGGGAGGGGCCGGAAATCAGTTGCCAGGATGCAGTGAGGGGTCCCTGCTGCGTAGATAGAATGGCTCTTCTTTCAGCGGCTAGTCTTGATTGTAGCTCCTGCCTTTAAGATGACCACAGCCTCGGAAGTAGAACTTAATTCTTGGGAGCTGATCAGTGGACTACGAAATGATATGTGAACCAGCCTAATGGGGAGAATAATGAAGTTTTTTTTTGTTTCCTCGTTGGGAATGGTGAAGGATGTTCTGTCTGCTCTTGGGTCAGTGTGTGTGTCACGGAGACGAGCTGCGTCCCCTGGCACGCTGGGGTCCCCAGTGTCCAGTCCTTTAGGAACTGCCCTTCCCCGCCCGTGGAGGGGGAAGCCCAGCACTCCTTGAGCTCCTGACCCTCCCCCCCCAGGTCGGCGCTGCAGGTCCTTCACAAGGCCTGCGAAGTGGCCCGAAGGCACAACTACTTCCCCGGGGGCGTGGCCCTCATCTGGGCCACCTACTACGAGAGCTGCATCGGCTCGGAGCAGAGCTGCATCAACGAGTGGAACGCCATGCAGGACGTGGAGTCCACGCGGCCCGACTCCCCGGCCCTGTTTGTGGACAAGTGAGTGCGGCGCCCCTCCCCCACCCCACCCCCACGCGGTGCCTGACTGTGTCCACACGATGTCGCTTCTCCTCTGTGCTCCTCGGACCGGGGCCCCTTCTCCCAGAACCGGCATTTCACGCAGCGGTTCCTGACGTGGCCTACGGGTAGTCTTTGGCTGGGGGAAGGGTCTGTGACCACCACCTGCCTTTGGAAATTATAGACAAATTTGGATGTGAATGCGTTTCTGGGGACCAGCTCCATAGCTTCCATCAGATCTCACAGGAGCGTGTGGCCGCAGCCCTCACCGGCCCCAGGCAGTGCTCTGTGGTCTGGTTCCTTTCCAGGTTGCCATCGACTTCATCTGTAAAGCCTCTTCCTCTACCCTTTATTTTGTTAATTTTAATTTTCAGTAACAGTTGATATTCAGTATTATTTTATATTAGTTTCAGGTGTACAGCAGAGTTAGACATTTATATAATTTACGAAGTGCCCCCCCCCCCCAACATTTCCAGTACGCACCCGGCACCACACACGGTTATTACAGTATTATGGACTGTAGTCCCTGTGTTGTACTTGACAACCCTGTGACTGTTTTGTAACTACCAGTCTGTACTTCTCAATCCCTTCCCCTTTTTCACCCAGCCTTCCAAACCCCCTCCCGTCTGGCCACCTCTTAGGAGTATTATGAATGTGACATCTGGTTTCTTGGGTCCCAAAACACAACCACACCAACATGTGATTCGCCATTCAGCCTCTAAGGCCGTTCAGCCTCAGCCACACGGGCTGAGGGCAGCCTTAGAGGCTGAACGGCCACCAGCAGAGCTCACGTGGCTGGAGGCTGCACTGAAATCAAGTCTGTTCCAGAAGACGGAAGCAGCTCTCCCCTTCTCCTGGTTGTGTCCCTTTTCCACAGTGTTGTGTGGTGGATGCCACGTTTAAGAGGGCTGTGGACAGAGGAGCGACCTGAATGAGGGGAGGCCCAGAGCCACGTGACATGAGGCCTCCAGAAATTACGAGAGGGTGGGGGAAGTGCTAGCTGCCTTTGGACATACGAGGGGTCGTCACGTGGAAGAAGGAATCGCCTGGTTCGTGTAGCCTTTAAAGCAGCGGTTCTCAACCTGTGGGTCATGTCCCCTTTGGGGGTCGGACGACCCTTTCACAGGGGTCGCCTAAGACCATCGGGAAACATTTCCGATGGCGATTCATAACAGTAGCAAAATTACGGTTATGAAGTAGCAACGAAAGTAATTTTATGGTTGGGGGTCACCACAACGTGAGGAACTGTATTAAAGGGTCGCGGCATCAGGAAGGTTGAGAACCACTGCTCTGAAGTGAGAGCCAGGATTGATGTGTAGAAGTTACAGGGAAATACATAGATCTTGGTGCCATGTAAGGAGATCGTGGGCGCCAGACCCAGCCAGGACTGTGAGCTCGCACAGGACTCATCCGTGTCTTCGGCAGAGCCTGCAGAGCACGGTGGCGTGGAGATGTTACGCCGGTGGCTCCAGCATCATGTACTGAGTCTGATACTCTGCAGGACCTGAATGAGGAGTGCGCTTTCCACCCGTGTGCCCTCTGATTTGCTCCACTGGTGACGCCTGTGGGAGTTCTGGACACAGAGCAGGGCTTCCCTGTTTCTCTCCCCCACCTGCTGAGGACACGTGAACCAAGAAGTTACCTGGGAACCCAAGCCATGTTCTGTCTGGCCCAGGAGCGCCGGGTGTTTCTGTAAGCTCCGAGCTCAGGCGTCCGATAACTCTGCACTTACCTAATTCTCTCCAGGCCAACGGAAGGGGAAAGGACGGAGCGCCTCATCAAAGCCCGACTCCGGAGCATCATGATGAGCCAGGACCTGGAAAACGTGACCTCCAAAGAGGTAGGAGAGCTTTTCCCCAGCCGGCCGAGGTCTCGTGGCGTCCCTCTGTCCTGTCGCCACACCCGGTCTTCCTCACCGAGATCAGTGCACCAGCTCTCGGAGGCTTTTTCCTGCAGGACTTAGCAAAACGAGGACACGCCTTTGAGTCAGACTCCAGTTTGAACCCAGCCCTACCACAGGCCAGCTGTGAACGTGGGCACATTTCCTGGCTCTCTGAGCCTCCAAGACCTTTAGTGACAATTCCACGAGACCTGGAGGTTGCACCCAGCAGCAGTTCCTGTTAGCACCCTCTCCTCTGCCCCACGTCACCTTACCGGTCGGTCGCTAACCCTGGACTGCTTTCCTTCTGCCTTTTGCTGTTTCTCAGGATCACTTTTTTTTTCTCTTTGGTTGTTTTTTGTCCAAGGAATGCAATGAATTGTAATAATAGCTTAAACCAGGTAGATCTAACAGGTCGAAATGGCCATACAATCTTTTTATTTATTAATACGTGTAAACATCCTATTGTGATACCTTCCAGAGCAAGATGGAACTGATTTGGGGTTTCCACTGTCATGTATTTGATACTTAATTCTAAAGGTATAAGTGCTTTAAACTCATAAAAGATCCTGTGGGAATCAGATTTCTTATTTGAAATAATGAACGACCCCCATTTGCTCTGAAGCTGAGTCTCCTGCGTTCCCGCCACCCACGGCCGTGTGCCACGTGCGTTGGAATGCAAAAAACACCTTTTCTGAAAACAACCGTGGTTGGCGCTGTGGCTTTGCGTCTGTGGAGGGCAGCAACTGTTTTCTTTAACAAATCACTTCCAATGTTTCCCACTCCACAGATCCGTAATGAATTGGAGAAACAGATGAACTGTAACTTGAAAGAATTCAAGGAATTCATAGACAACGAGATGCTACTTATCCTGGGACAGATGGACAAGCCCTCCCTCATCTTCGATCATCTGTATCTCGTAAGAGGCACAGTACATGTCAGGGTCTGGCTTGGGAAACATAAATCGGACCTTGATTGTTTAGAGCAAATCAGAGAGGGGAAAACTTGAGTTCCTGGAGCCTCGATCCTGACTTTTACGGGTACTCCCCTCTGGCCTGCAGCCTTGTGGTTTGCTCTGCAGCCAGATGCTTGCGATGTGGCTCCTAGCTGGGCTGTGGGGAGTCGTTTGAAAGCTCTTTGGCATAGTCAACTGGCAACCGCCTGCAGACTCTTGCCGTTCTTTGCCTCCTTCAGCCACTAACACACAGGCCCCATCCAGATACCTCCAAATGGTTTGCGGGCTAAAAACCCCCAGTTACTAAAGGGAGCATGCTCGCCAAACCCCAGAATTATGCCTAGGAATCCCGAGACACGAGAAGCAGTACGGAAGGCAAACTAGACAGACACCTGAATGCAGCTTCCCCTCTGTGTGTCCAGGCAGCCACTCCGTGCACTGCCCCCAGAGCCCATTGGAGGAACAAACAGGCCCTGGTGATGCAACCTCCTTCTCTTGCTCAGATTTTCTTAAAGCTGTAAATCTCCATAGAAGGCAACTGGCAAGTTTTCAAAGTCAGAGAGACGGTAGAGGAAGGCACGTTACTAAAATTAGAGGCAGCACAGTGTAGTCATGAAAGTCAGCCCCGCCAGGCCAAGTTCCCACTCCCCAGCTGACCAGCGATGTGACTGGGAACAAGTCTCTGCCTCTTTTTTTCCCCTTCATTCTGTACCCCGTGGAATGATTATGAGGATTCAGTAAAATACAGGTTTAAGGCACCAAGTGTAGTTTCTGTAGGCACTAATAAATGGTAACCATTATTAGAGCAGAAATAACTTCCTGGGAGAGTTGAGGGAGAGTATTTGCTTTGGAAGGCATAATGATTTTGTTCTCTGCCTGTAGGAAGAAATTAGTAACCCTCCAAATGCGTATGTCGTGATATATATTTAATGTATTTATAGATATCAGTCTATATATATATATATATACACACACACACACATATACATTCACACACACTTAATGTATATGTTAAAATGTGTATAAATGTGTGGGTTTGAAGCCTGTGTCTTGAAAGGTATGCGGGAGTACTGGGCTCTTATCTCCCTGAGAAGTTGATGGTTTTCCCTGGTGGAGACAGAACGCAAGGCACCTCCAGCACGTCTTGCCACTAGGTGGCGATCACGGCAAGAGGACACTCACAGCCTTAGCGAAGCGCTATTTTTCAGTGCGGTTGGTGCTTTATGTCACTTTTTCCATGAGAGATACCAAAGGAATTTTTATGTTTGAGCCTCTCCCTCCAATATGAAAACCCAGCTTGCACACACACGTGGCCAGCCCCATCAGGGTCCCTGAAGCCCCTGCCTCCTGAGAGTCTGCCCTCTTGGGAAAGGAAATGTATAAGGAAGACTATGCAGGTTTTTTTGCTCTTTGTGATTCTATGTTGTTTGCATTTCCTAAGAGCAAAGTGATGGTTTTTTTCTTTGTTCTTTTCCCTCCGTGTTCTTTGCATACTCAGAAATGGAGGGTTCATGTTTTTTTTTTTAAATACATTTTTAAAGTATTAAATTAAAACATGTAAACATATTGTAGAAAGAGGAAATATGAATAAGTTTAAAGAAGAAAATTAAAGGCATTCTCAGTTTCACAAATCTAGAGGTAGTCACAGTTAACATTTTGGTATATGTTTTTCTATCTTCGGGGGATGTGTATATAACTTATTAAAAGGAAAGAACCACACTGTTTATGTTTACATAGTTTTGTGTCCTGTCCTGCTTTAATTTTTTTTTTTTTTTGGTCATGATGTGTTTCCCTGTGTCATTAAATATCCTCTAAAAGTATGAGTTATCTTAATGGCTCCATCATAGGGATCCATCATAATTTATTTCACAAATTTCTCCTTGTTGGACCTTTGGGTTCCCACTATTTTGTTATTATAAATACCTTAAATGTCCTTGTACATAAATCTCTGCAAATTCTGGGTATTTCCTCAGAGTAGCTTTTCGTAAGTGGAATTTCCGGGTCAGAGAGTGGGAACTTTGTAAATATTGCCAAAATACTTCCCAGAAAAGGTAGACTGATTCCTGCTTTAATTAGAGGTGTGTGAAAGTGCCCTGTCCTGAGTGGGAGGCCAGAGGGCACGGCCTCTGGTGAGAGGCCCCGCTGGAGTCTCAGGAAAGGAAGCGGTGAGAGGGAGCAAGTTTCTCTGAACCTGCCCTTCCCTTGTTGTGCTGACCTGCCTCGGGAACCTGCTTCGACACCTCTGTGCTCTGAGGCCAGGGGCCCGTGAAAACACCACCACCGCAGGGCTAGCGTCCCGGATGCAGTCTGAGGCCGACACGTGACACTCACGGGGGTTTGTGTGATCTGTCCCCTAGGGCTCTGAATGGAATGCATCCAATCTGGAGGAACTGCAGGGCTCAGGGTGAGTCTGCTCCCCTTGTCTTCCCTTGTCCTTCTAGGCAGCCTAGAAACCCTCAGCTCTGCCACGAGCTCAGGCCAAGCCTGTGCCACCTGCCTGTAATCACCTGCACCCGGCAGCCAGGCCGATCCGCATAGCTAGGCAGAGGTGCCTCAGAGCGCCACTCCTGAGTCATTCATGCGTTTTAGACTTTTCTGGGGCTTGTGTGATGGCTTATGTCCCCAAGAAGAATCCTAAATCACAGTCCAGTGGTATAGACACTGCCCTGGTGTGGACCCACCTATCAGCTGGGCCAGTCAGCACCTCTGATCCCTGGACCACTGCTGGTTCTATCTGAGCCTATACTTTTGGACCTGGAGGGAATCTTGCAGCTAAATAAATACTCGGCATCGGCAGAAACACATGCCTGTCTTAGTCTGAGAAACACCCAGCAGCAGGAATAAAAAAATGTTTAAATCTAGACCTTCAAGAACAGATGTCTGGACATTTTTTTAAAAGAAACAACATAGCCACAAAATCACCATCCCATGGGCCTGACATGATGGCACCCTTGAATTACTGCATTTAAAAATCAAGACTAAACAAACCTTAAAATATATCTTTAGAACTACCGGTTAAGATGTGTTCTTTCAAACAGAAAGTATTCTTAAAATGTAGGGTGAGGCTGTCTGTGCTTTCTGTTTTCCTGGGAATAAGTAAATTATTTTTAAGGTATTTTTAAAGTATTTGTAAGTGTTCACTTTTGAAATCTATTTGAAGGTATTTTCAAACTCCTGAAATTATTTTGGTCTCCCAGGAATATAAGTATTAAGTTTAGAGACCTACAAAACCTGGTTAGCAGACACTGTTAGCTATTTATTTATTTATAGCCTGCCTGCTTCAAAAAGGATGTAAAGCAGTTTCCAAGGACATAAATAATGGACAGATATAGTCTACTTTTTAACTATTTAAAAGTGGAGACTTTGTTTTTCCTTAAAGCCTCTGTATGTTCATAATAATTATGGATTTTGAAACTTTGAGTTTTAAAATGTATTTAAGTAATACATGTATCTACTTTCCAGAATTAACATTGCTCACAATGCTTTGAACTGTTCTCTTTTTATATTTTTGTAAAGAAGTTTGTTTTTTAATATAAGTAGAATACATTGTCATCATAGAGATGGCATTTAGAAAATACCAAAAAAATTTACTATTAAGAAAAAAACCATCCCTGGCCGGTTTGGCTCAGCGGTTAGAGCTTCGGCCGGCGGTCCAGAGAGACCCGGGCTTGGTTCCCGCTAAGGGCACGTACCTCGGTTGCAGTTTGTCCCCGGCCCTGGTTGGGTTGTGCGGGTGGCAACCACTCGATGTGTCCCTTTCACATCGATGTTTTTCTCTCTCTCTCTCTCTCCTTCCCACTCTATCTGAACTAAATATGGAAAAATGTCCTCGGGTGAGGATAAAAAAGAAAAGAAAAGAAGAAAACAGAAGTCCTGCCATAAAAACATATACACTTTATTAATGTATATTTGATTTTTTTTTCTCTGTTCAGTTTTATGTACTTTGTTTTTTATAGTTCCTCATTCTGGTTCTCCAAATTTGTTCTTTTTTATTTTATTATTTTTCTCGTTGCAGTGTTGACTACATTTTAAATGTCACTAGAGAAATAGATAATTTTTTCCCTGGCTTATTTGCATATCATAACATCCGAGTCTATGATGAAGAGACAACAGACCTTCTTGCCCACTGGAACGAAGCGTACCATTTTATAAACAAAGCAAAGTAAGTGGGCGAAGAAGCCAAAGAAACTGGTCTGAGGGAGAAACTGGCAGATGCTGGGTGGGCAGAAATTAATGGCAATCCCAGACACAGACATCTCCTGTCTTAGGGAGCCTTGGCTGTCTAATGGACCTCTGATCTCAGACCACAGGACCCCTGGCACTGTAAAGACAAAGTTATTGCTCTCCAGGTGGGGACCCGAATGAGCCTGTTCTCTCCCACCTGTCATTGATTGTGACATCTGACCCCAGTTTCATCAGCAGCACTGGTTCTGATTAAGAATCCAACACCACATGGGCACTCTTGGGAGGCTCTGCCTGTGGGTATTGCTGAGCCAAAGGAGCGAGAAGAGAGGGCCAGGTTGTACGCAGACTTAGAGCACCTTTGGGACTGCTTCCTCAGGGAAATCTACTCAGGCAGATGCCCTGAGCTGGGACTTGCCTTCTCCACCTGAGTCAGTGCGATTTTTCTGTTTGAGCAGAATGGGATAGACTGCGAGCCAGTCACTGGTTTCACGCAGCTTTTGTCCTCACCTTATCCTCCTACAGAACAACTCTGTCTTACTGCAGTCAGGAATGGAATGAGATAGCCCTTGGAAACCCCATCCTCTGCTCTGCCCCCCTCCAAGGTCAGAGCTACATAACCTGTCCTTATAGTTGGTTTGCACCCCCCGGGGGTAGACTTCAGCCCGGCAGTCCATAGAAAAAGCTCTGAGGTTTGGTGACGAATGTTAAGCCCGAGGTAGGAGAAATGAGTCTGCTCGCACCCGACAGGCTGCCTACTCTAACGGAGACAGGCAGGCAGGTGGGCTCACCTCCCGTACAAATAAAGCTTGGCAGATGCCGCCCTTTCCAGCCTGGTGTTCCCTCACCTTCTTGAACAAGCCATACTTCGAGCAACGCTGTGTCTGGCCTTGCCGTACCTGTTAGGCCAGCCACTCCCGGGCCAGCACAGCCTCCTGCGTCCTAGGGCCCATCTCCCTGGCTTTTCTCTTGGCCACGTTGGTGGTATGGCTGCCCTCGCCCTGGCTCCTTGACCCTCCTGTCTCCTGGGGGCCTTGCGGCTTCCGGTTCTCTGACTCGTTTTTCTGTGGTAGCCCAGTCCCCGTCTCCATCTGCTGTAGCTGCTTAGGTAGCTTTTGCAGATCTCTCTTTTGCTGCCCAGTTGCTTCCCGCAAAAGGGTTTTTGGTCTCAGCCTATCCCAGAGCTGTGGGAAGGTTCTCACTTTGTCTCTGAAGTCAGCCCGATTTGGGAGCTCTCCCTGCAAAACTTGCTGGGCAAGGACAGAGTTATCTTGATTTTCCATTGTGTGCTAATTGATTTCCCAGTAAAGTGATTTCCTTCAGAGGGGGTGTGGACAAATACTGCGTAAACATTTGGGCTATGGCATAACTTCAGGGTTTAAAACAGTCAGTTGTGTAAAAACCCTAGAGAATGAAGTTAAGCTTTTCAAAAACTCACCCCCACCAGGAGGAACCATTCCAAGTGCCTGGTCCATTGCAAAATGGGCGTCAGCCGATCTGCTTCCACGGTCATAGCCTATGCGATGAAGGAATTCGGGTGGCCCCTGGAGAAAGCGTACAACTACGTGAAGCAAAAGCGCAGCATCACACGCCCCAACGCCGGCTTCATGAAACAGCTGTCTGAGTACGAAGGCATCTTGGATGCGAGGTGGGTGCCTGTCTGCAGAGGGTTGGCAGGCCCGCTCGGGAAGCCGCCATCCACATCTAGCAGTGGCTTCCGCAGCCAAAACCCTGCTGCTGGGGGGGTGGGGGACCGGTTTGAGAAAAACAGCTATTGTTTGGCATTTGATTAGTGGTTTCCAGGAGGGATCTGTTCTGATTTTGTTGGCACACACAGCTATTTTGCTGCAGGAGGGAACGCTGCCTAACTTCCAGTCCAAGGCACGACTTCGTGTGCGGCACGAGCACGTGGATGCCCCGTTTCCTGAGCATCTGCTACGGGCCGAGCGCGGTGCCAGGCTCCGCCGCAGGGCAATTTCACGGACTGCAGAGGCAGACCAGGTCCCCCCACTGACGAGCTGGGCTACTTAGGGCAAGCTCCTCAGTCTCCCCCAGCCTCCGCTTTCTCTTCCTGAGTAGAGAATCAACGCCCACCGGGTAGGGTTGCGAGCGATGCATGAGTACCGCACAGGTTCATCTCTGCAGACGCTTTGCCAGACCTGGCTCATAGCTAACAATGATGTCGTTTTTCATATTTTTCTAATCCCTACCAGAAAAAGGTCTGCAGAGTACAGGTTTTCCCCATTTCCAGGGGAATCAGGAACTGACGCTTGAGGTGAACTTGTCCCACATCAGAGCCAGTGGACCGCAGAAGGGGGCACATGCCCCGGTCCCCTGGCCTCCAAGGGCTCTCCTGCCCCTTCAGGGAGGGGTTCTCCGGTCGCCCAAGGAGGGTCCCTGCTGTACTCTGGGACTCACTTTCTTCCTCTTCTCATTCTCCTCAGTCTGTAGGAGGCCTCCCCGGGTTATTTCTGACTGGTGTTGTGAGGGAGCCACAGGCTGTCTTGGCCTCTTAACCATGTTTGGGGAAGCAGGCTCGAACGGGGTCCGGAGGACAGCTCCTGACATCTCCACTGTCAGCCCGAGAGAGGCTGGACAGACCCCAGGCAGGGCTGAGGGGGGGCAGGGGGAGTGTGCATCCCTTAGCTCTTCGGCCACTCACTCCCACCAGTGCCCACTGTGGCCTGTCTGGGTCCAGGCTGGGTTCAGAGGTGCAGTGGTATTGACCTTGAATCGCAGCAGCCCCCTCTCAGGGCCCCCTTGGCCTTGCCCAGAACATGCACAGGAAACAGTCATGAGTGATCGTGACACTCGCTCACATTGAAGGACAATAGCAGATCCTTACTTTACATTTAATTTTCTCTCCTCTTAACCCTCGCAGCCTCATGATGTTGGTATCGCTCTAGGGTTTGTGGAGGTGACTTCTTTACCTTCACTGTAAGCCTTTCTCTTTTCTTTTTACCTTGATGTTTCAAAAATGCATTTAAAAAAATAACACCTTACTATTAGAAGACATATTTTTAAAACTGACCTGTAATCTCTCCGACCTAAACAAATATTTACAGTTTTCTGAAATCTCCTCGACTTTATTCATGTGCATTATGTGCTTACATTGGTATAAATATATATTTGTATAAGTATGTATATTGACAGATGGAGAAACTGAGAGATGGCACATTCAGTGGCACTGAGTGGTGTGACCGGATGAGATGCAACACTAGGATCATGATAGCATTTCAGGTCTAGACGCCCTTCACATATCTGTCCCCTGGTCGTCACGTGACAGTCCTTTCCGGCTTCTCGTAAGGGCCACGATGATTCTGGGTCCTAGTGCTGTTTTCTCTCATCCTTTCATTTCTTGGGGGCAGATGAACAGGGAGAGGCTTTACGTAATGAGTCCCCAGCGTCCACCGGAGCCTGGAATGTCCCTTGCTGGCTCACTCCTTCCCCTCTTCCCAGGAACCTCTGGGCACTGGCCTCTGATGACCTTCCTCTGCCCTTCCTCCCCCAGCAAACAAAGGCACAACAAGCTGTGGCGTCAGCAGACTGAGAGTTGCCTGCAACAGCCTGTGGATGACCTCGTGGGGTCTGGGGACTTCTTGCCAGAGACCCTGGATGACACCCCGGAAGCCCAGCTGTCCTGCTTGGATGATGCTGCCCAGCCTGAGTTGCCAGGCACCAGGTCCCCAGGAGGAGGAGGACCCTCTCTCTCCTGCTGTTTCCGGCGGCTCTCCGACCCCCTCCTGCATTCCCCCAATGACGAGACTGGCAGCGTGGTCCAGCTGGAGGATCTGGAGAAGGATGCTCTGTTGGAGGAAGCAGAGGCGCACAAGCCGGCCAGACCTCTCCAGGAGGGCCCTGGACTCTGTGAGAAGGAAGTGAAGAAGAAACCAGAGTCTGGGAGCCTGAAAACCCAGAGTGGCCCCTTGCCACAGGTGGAGGAGATGGACAGGGAGGAGGCTCCAGGAGTAGGGAGGTGGGGGAGGTCCCCAACCCAGCTTGATAAAAACCTGCTCAACCAGGAAAACCTAAACAACAACAACAGCAAGAGGAGCTGTCCAGATGACTTTGAGGTAGGTGTGGGACCAGCGCATGCGGGCAGCAGACCCCGGCACCTCTGACCTGTCCCGCACCTCTGACCTGTCCCGCACCTCTGACCTGTCCCGCGCAGCAGCCCCCCCCAGCCACCTCTGCTACTTCATCCTGCCAGCTCGGCAGTTCTCACCCCCAGCGCCGGCGGGTTGGTTTCAGAGAGGGATTCTGAAGGCTAATTGGGAACGTATACCTACGGGGATTGGGGTTTACAGAGGACAACACCAGTCCCTCCGTGCCCTCGTCACCCCACACGCCTCCGTCACTTCTGGGGCGGGGCTTCCAGCTCTCTTTTTTCCTTCTGTTAAATGTCAACGATATGCCGTACCACCAAGCCTCAACACTTCTCAGTATGCGGCCATTCCTAGTTCATCACAGCCCCACCCACTCTCTCACACCCTAGTTTTGAACCGTGTATACGTTGTTTTATTCACAAATGCTTCAGTATTTAACATAACCACAATAGCATCACCACCTCTAAGAAATTGATAGTAATTCCCCAACATCATCAGATGTGTGGATTTGAACTCAGAGTCTGTTGCTAAACTCCACTCGTTTCTTTCAGCTCTCATATTCAGTGGGTCATCTGCAGTGAGGTTTTAGCTTCAGACAGGCAGGTGGACTCGGAAAACCATGAACCATCTGGCCTTTTCCCTCCTTGAAGTGGCTCCCTTTTATTTATTCATTCATCAGTTGTTCGGAGTGGAGGCTGGGTTCGTGAAAGGGTGCTGTCCTCACTCTGCTGGCTCACCGGGCCTGGGGCGCGGAGCCTCATTTCCCTGGCTTCGCTGCCCATCCCCCAGGGCAGGTGTGGTTCTCAAGTGAGAGAGAACACTCCGATGTGCCGTGGGTTTGTCGTGATGTTATGCACACCAAACTGGAAAGTTAGATCTGCCAACATTCAAATTATAAAACGTATTCCAAACCAAGTGTTAACTCATGAATTTCCCCCATCACTCAGACAACAAATACCGTAAAGCTAGATGATTTACGACCTTTTGGTCCAGGATCACGGTGCCTCAATTGGTCCGAAATGGCATAGCTGTGAGTCGTAGAATGATGAACACCGAGAAGCTTAGATACGAGGGCAAATGAAGGACACAGCCCTCCTTTCCTGGCCAGAATCTCATTGAATGGGTGACTTTATCTAGGGAGACAAGCTTCATTCATTTGTTCAACACCTGTTTAGTAACACGTTGATGAGGGAGTCCAGCTGAGAGTAAGACAGCTTAGTGTGCGTCTTACAGATGCATGGCAGACATGTAAGGATGTAATGAGAACGAATGCAGGTGATTCCTGGTGTGGGGAGGGGATGAGTAGGAGCCAGCCATGAAGAAGGCCAGGAGGGCAGTCTTTGGGCTCAGAGAGTGGCAGGTGCCAAGGTGTTCCCTGAGGGCAGAGAGCTTGGCATGGTTGCAGAGCAGTGGTCTGAGGTGTGTTTGGCCAGGTGGCCAGGTCACGCAGGGTCTCCAGGCATGATGGTAGGGCTTTAAGCAGAGAGTGATGCGGCTCCTCAGCTGCAGTGTGCAGGCAGGCTGCTGGGCTGAGGGTGGAAGCAGGCACCTGAGACGATGGTTCAGAGACAGGGCAAGGGCAGACATGCACAGCTGGGAGGCATCTGGAGGCAGAGCCGAGGCATTGGGTCCTCTGGGAAGCCTTCACTCTATGGCAGACTGAGCTCATCCCTCTCTGTGCTGCCTCTTTTCATGTGGTTTTTCTGGTCCGTTTCCACCAGCGGCCACTAGCCCCTCTGCGGGCAGGGACTGTGTCTTGTCCACAGCCCCTGTACTCTATACAAGTCCTGGCATGGGACAGGTGCTCCCTAAATATGAGCTGGGTGAATGAATTCTCTCCCACCCTAAGGCCCCACAGGTTCTGAAAGGTACTAAAATCTACCATCGTGGTAGATTTCACCATGTTTTAAAACATTGGGTTGTAAAGGTCTTGGGAGAAATGAACAGGTAGACACTTTGGTTAGAGCTTCAGAAAAATCCCAGGGTCCAAAGTTCAGGCCTTACCTTGAGGATGACCAGGTCTTACTGGTCGACTTGGAAGCCAGCCACCCCAGGAATCCTGACTGAGACAGGGTCCTGCAGGAGACCCGGCCTCCCCCCCCCCCACCCCCACACACACATGCTCCCCTGCAGCCTCCAGGAATCCCGGCTGAGTTTTCATTTGACTCCTCTGGTATCAGACCTGCCTGTGACTTTTTACCTTGGGGGACCTCAGTCTGCCACACAGGATGGTATTAACCTCTGACGGTCAGGGCCGGGGAGCCCTCCAAGCCTCGCGCAGCAGGAGAACCTGCTAGGAACCAGCTTCGGAGGGAGAAGGCTGGTTCCCCCACTTTCTCGCTGGTTGTTCTCAACCCCATCTCAGCCCGGAAGAGCAGCCCTGGTGCCTGGGGATGGGCGCAGGAGGGTGAACGGCTTCGAGGCGGGCGGTTTGCCTCTGGAAGCAATGCCAGTGTGTTTTCTGTTGGTATATGAAGGCTGCCTCAGCCTGGCTTCTCATCGGGGCGTGGGCACCCGTGTTGGGGTCTGAATTAGAGTGTTCCCAGAACCATTTCTGCCCTTCGCCACCGCTCTGTTCAGAGCACAGCCAGATGATTGCTCTCCGGAGCCACGCTGTGTTTGCACGAGAGGGAAACGTTTCGTTGTCAGACTCAGGTTTCCCACATGCAGATTCTTTCTGAAAGGGGAAGAAAGGGAGAGGCGCCTACTGTGTGAAACATTCCATTCCTTCTCCCCGTGCTGTGAGGTCACAGCCACTCTGTTCTCATTGGGTGCAAGTGTCAGAGGCAGGGGTGAGGGGCGGCCCTGCCTGCCCTGTGGCCAAAGGTTTGCCCAAGACCATGGGCACATAGCTTCTGGGAAGTTTGGGTCAGCATCTCTAACCTGCATCCGTCACGGCCGGGTGTGTCCTGCACTCCGAGGTGAGGGCACTGCCCCTCCCGCCCCCCACCGCCCCGCGCCCTCCTTGCAGTTTGTGGTCTCTGGCGTGCATTGCGCTCACGATGTTCATGTTCCCTTCCAGCATGATGCTTTGTTTGGGATCCTCAGCAAAGTGAAGCCTTCCTACAGATCTTGCACCGACTGCACACACCCGGCAGCCCGCGGGGTTTCGGAGACCTTCGGGGAGCGGCGTGAGAACCCTGGCGCTCCCGCCATCTGCACCCAGCCAGCCCTCCCGCCCCACCTCGCCTCTTCCCCTGTGGCCCACACAGCCATCAGGTCCCGGGCTCTAGAGAAGCTGGCTTCTGGCCCCACCGAAACGCCCCCGTTCCCACCACCAGCAGGCCCGAGGAGGCCAGACCCCAGTGGCTCTGGGGCCAGGGCTGCCCCAGAGCTACCAGCTAGCCTTTTGGAACCTTCCAGAGAGACCCAAAAAGTCCTGCCAAAGTCCCCCCTTCTGAAGAACTCTCACTGTGATAAGAACCCTGCCGGCATGGAAGTCGTGAAGGAAGAATCACCACCCAAGAAAGACATGAAACCGGCCAAGGACCTGCGGCTTCTGTTCAGTAAAGAAGCCGAGAAGCCGACCACGCACAGCTACCTGATGCAGCACCAGGAATCCATCATCCAGCTGCAGAAGGCGGGCTTGGTCCGCAAGCACACCAAAGAGCTCGAGAGGTTGAAGGGCACGCCTGCAGACCCGGCGTCTCCCTTCAGGGACGGCACCCCAGGCAGGCTGGAGGCCAGCATACCCGAGGAGAGCCCAGACCTGGCTCCTGTCCCTGCGCCGGGGGTGAGTGACGAGAAGTCAGAGGCCGCCCCCGTCCCATTGGAAGGAGCCTCACTGAAGAGCCCCACTCCCTTCCTCTGCCGCCTGGACCACACCAGTCATTTCTCGAAGGACTTTCTGAAGACCATCTGCTACACCCCCACCTCCTCTTCCATGAGCTCCAACCTGACCCGGAGCTCCAGCAGCGACAGCATCCACAGCGTCCGCGGGAAGCCAGGGCTGGTGAAGCAGCGGACGCAGGAGATCGAGACGCGGCTCCGGCTGGCGGGCCTCACCGTCTCGTCGCCCCTCAAACGCTCGCACTCTCTTGCCAAGCTCGGAAGTCTAGACTTCTCAACGGAAGACCTGACCAGTGAGGCTGACGTGTCCACCGTCGCTGACTCCCAGGAGGCCAAGCTGAGCGAGGCTGCCTTCTTGCAGGAGCCCCAGGCAACCCCGAGGACCCCGGCCACCCCCTCTAAACCATCAGGGAAATCTGCCCCAGAAAGCTTGAAAAGTCCCTCGTGGTTGAGCAAAAGCTGACCCGCCTGGAGCTGAGCACTCGACCCTGTTTCACTGTGGATTTTGGTCAGCCCCTCACCTCTTGATTTCCCTCACACAATGGCGTTTCAGAAACACTCGGCCCCAGGAGAAAGGGGAGTGGTAGTTGTGTGGCCGGGAGAACCAGAAGCTGTTGGCCGGCAGACTCTGAGCCCGAGTCATGTGCTTCCCCGAAGAATGTGTCTTAAGAGCATAGACGTGCGCACACTCATCACAAGTCCTGCATCGGAAACGCGTGAAGGAACAGCTGTGCGACGGCGCTCGTTCTAGCTCGTGCTGGCCCTCGTGGGAAGTCTTGGATGGCATATAAGTCCTACCTCCGTTCTCGCTGTGCTTTTTATTGTTACAATACAGTGATGACCAAGGCTCGTTCCAGGGAATACTGCTGTGTCAGAAAAAGGGTTTCCAGGAAAGGTATTTGTTTCTGTTTGGGACCCCAAAAAGTGTTAGGATTTCCGACTCGACTACCCCAAGCACTGCGAGGTAAAGGTGCACAAAAGTGTCAGATGCCGTTGTTGAACCAGCTCTGCGGCGCCTGATCATCCGTGCAGCTGACTTCTCAGTGCCGGTGTCTGGTTGCAGCTGAGGGATGTGTGTCTGGCCTGCACTGGGGTCCGGTGGGGAAAATGCGTGTAATGTCCTCGGTTGTGGCTTGTGGTGGATTTTAAATTGCTCCTCACTGGGGAGAAGCACCCACGGAGCATTGTTGAGTCTCCCCTGCTGTCGAGCTCAGTAGTTGTAAAGGTTTTGAAAGTATCTCACCGGGGCGGCAGCGCTGAGATGCAGACCGTCCTGCCAGGAGCCCCAGCACTCAGGTTCATTTGGTCACATCTGCTCCTTTTGGGGAGGAAAAGGAAAATTCGGCATCAGAAATGATCAATTCCTCTCAAAGAACAACTCAGCAGCAGCCTCTCTGAAAGAAATGCGACCGTTGAAAAGCCTCCCCGATATTTACGTTGCCCTTCGTGCACAGAGAGTACCACTGCCTGTCCCTCTCCGGCTGTTCCTAGTGACACGGACAGGGTGCGGGAGGGCCGGTGTCCCAGCCTGGGCTCTGTGAGGAGCCTCGTCAGAATCTGGCCAGCTCAGTGCATCCTGCTGCTGCTGGCTCTGGGCGTGAGTGAAGGGTCGTCTGGTGTCGGTCAGCAAGTGGGATGTGACAGGTTTAATTCAGGGGTCAGCAAACTGGCTTATGGCCCCATGACCTAAGAATGGTTTTTACATTTTTCAGGGGTTATAAAAATCTAATAGCCAACAAAGACCACGTCGTCTGCGAAACCTAAGATACTTTTATCAGGCCCTGCATAGAGAAAGTTCACTGACCCCTGGTTTTATGGACAGCAGGGTTCCTCTAGGGAGAAACTGGGCAAATGTGAAGCCTTCCCTGCCCTTGGCACCTCAAGCCAAATCCATCTCCCGACCCAGACCTTGCCAGCCCCCCCCCAGGGTGTCTCCCGCAGGGTGGGGCAGCTGTGTTCGTGGTGGAACACCCCTGGCTGAAGCCTACCCACAGTCACAGACAGCTTGCCCCCTGCGGGCTCAGCCAGGGTCATTCAGTGGAACTAGAAAGCCTTCAAGGACCAGCCAAGTTCTGCAAGTGAGTGAATGAGATGCCCTCTGACATTGGTCAGAACGGGACCCGGCAGCCCATTCTAGAGAGCTCCAGGCAGGGTCTTCGGGAGCAAGGCTAGTCCGTATTTCAGTCAGCGCGAGGTTTTTGCAAAAACCCTCTCCAGGCACTTTTCCTCCCTGACCTTGTCCTTTTAATTTTTTAAAATATAATTTTACTTTATAGGAATTTGTTTTTCTACTGCTATTCATTGAAATTATCTTAAATTAAAAGGTGGTTTATTCACTTTTCCTGAAAACCCTGTTAGCTTTTTCTCCCTCTCTCTCTCAGCCAACAAAAGCATATTCTCAAAAAAAAAAAAAAAAAAAAATCAAGTTCAGTATGTCTTGCCAAATTAAATTTCATGTGGTGGATCAATTTTGTGTCAAAATAGTTCTTTAGATTTGGTGATGATAGACTGTTTTTGCTTTTTTAAAACCGTGTGTATGAGAGGGATGTATTTTTGAAAACTTTAATTTTGAAAGCCATAATTTTTCTTATCCGGTTAAAGGGTGGAAGGAGGGTGACAAATCTAAGTGGGTTTTTGGCTTTTGTCAAGATTATCTATGCGTTCTCAGAAGCACAATTCGTATATCAACATTGAAACAGACCAGGGCCCAGGGCCCCGTCGTCAGAGCAAAATGAAGACATGTCCTTGACTGGGACAGATCTGGAGCAAAGGATGAAGATTGTTCTCCCAGACGCAGATCAGTTGTGTGTCAACATACGGCAAATTGCTGTTTGAAATACACTTGACGAGAGCGTGCTGCCAGGCTCAGGGCACCTGGGCCCAGACAGGTTCCTGCTGCTCCGCAGAGAAGGTTTGCTCTGTGAGATATGCCATGTCCTGACCCCTGTTCTGTTTGTCATCTTAGCTGGTAGGGAAAGTCCCTAGGATGAGTGGCGGTCAGCCCCTCACAAGGGAGGCAGGGGTGCGTGCCCTGGAGGTAATCGACATCAGCGCCTGCCAGGTTTGGGGAAGGAATGCCTTTGTGAAATTAAGACAAAACAAACATTTTCTCGGTCAGCTCGATAGTGTGTACTTAATCTGCATTTCATCTTCCACCTCACCTTTCTGTCGCCTTTATGCAGATGGCACGCCACAAGTTAGACCGAACTAGATCTTCGTGTTGTCTTGGTACTGGGGTCATCTCGTCAGGTTGTGCTGAGTGTGAGGAGGAAGCTGGTCCTGGAGCAACGAGACCCCTGCTGCCCTCTGACCATGCTCTGACAGTGTCAGTTTCCATTTCTCTGTCTCAGAGCCCCGTCTCGTTGCATGAGCTTCTTAAGAACAAGGTTCTTACTCTTGGAATTCCCTGCCTCCTTGGTCTCAGACCCCTGGGCTGGTGACAGCTCTCTGCCAGATTGTGACACCCTGTCCATCGGGCATGCATATTACTCACCAGGTCTTCAGAGGGCTGCACTGTCCAACCCCCTTCTGCTCCACCCAGCCTCTGCCACTGAAAAGCATTCTAGCCCATTCTAAAGCCTTTTCCCTTATGGATAAGCCCAGAGGGTGCCACAGGATAGAGCCAGGTTTGCAACAGAATTAACACCTTCAGGACCACCCTGTACTTTGGCACGGGTGTCTCTCCATGCAGGCCGGATCCTATAAGTTGATGAACCCCCCTGCTCCCATGGGGCTATTTCTTGCCATGGGGAACAAAGCCTGCATCATTTAGTCCAGATCATATGAGTAACCTCCCCCGGGGTGTTTGAAAAGGGACTTGCTCTCTGTTGGCTGGAAATGCTTGGTGCCAGAAAACATTTCACCCAACTCTACTCTGGCTTGCCACCTAGCAGGGCGCCCCAGACACACACAGTGAGGGCAACCGTTCCACCTCTGGCTGCAGAGCCAGGCGGGCTGGGAAAATCGTGACAGCCGGACAGCTCGGTGCAGGGCCACCTGCTCTGGTCCCACCCTGCAGGTTCTTGCTGACGCTGCATGCCAAACGAAGGCAGTTGATTGACCCCCGTGCTCAGCTGCTTGGTCTTTTTATTGTCTGCTCTGCACTTGAATACCTGTGTGTGTGAGTTCACTCTGCATGTGTATGTTTATGTATGTAAACTTGAATCCTGTCATCACGTGCATCTCATTCACACACGTGCTGTTTCCGAGCTGTGAAGCGGATCCCCTAGAGCCATCTGGAGGGGCGCTGGATAGAGCTACCTTCGGTAGCTCTGCACACGGCTGCCTAGTTTTGTCTGTCTTGGAGGGGTCTCTACAACCAGCCCACCAGTCCTCTGCTGTCCTTTCTGTCGGCTGTGCTGCACGAGAAGGTGGCTGCTTCCTCCCTCTTTTCCGACACTGTAATTATTGTTTTACAATTGAGTGCCTTAATAATAGTTTACAAATACTGTGTATTTATGGGAAACTGCTAAGCTCTCACCTTCTGGGATTGGATACTTGGCCTTGTCCGTGGTGGTTGGTGTGAGGGCTGGCGCTTGCCCCGACCCACGCTCGCGCCCATCTGCTGTGCAGTTCGCGCGGGCACCCACACGTCCAAGGAGCACAGCGAGAAGCGACCCTGGTGGGTCCTGCAGGTGAGGCAGGCGCGGGCCCACGGGCGTCCCGGAAGAGTGAGGAAGGACTAGAACTTGGTGTGCCAGCCCGCTGGGGGTGGCGACTAGCCCAGCCCTTCACCCACTCCCCCGTCACACAGCTGTACCCTTCTTCAGTAGACTCTTACTACCCCTAGGCCACCCTGTGTGCTTCTCTGGTGGAATCCCGAGCTCTTTGCAACAAAATGCAGGTACAGTACCCCCCCCCCCCCAATCAGGAGCTCCACACGATGGGTTGCCCTTGGGTTTTCAGAAGCTGCCAGTGGGTTCCAGTGTGTTGTGTAATGATACCAATTATTTTTTTTATTATATTGGTTTTTTTCTTGTTTTTTTTTTTTAAATAGTATATATTTAAAAAGGCAGTATCTTTTGTACTGTGAATTTGCAGTAGAAGATGCATAATGCACTTTTTTTTTACTTGTCAGTGTGTACTGTATATAGTCTGTGTGCTTCTTGTGATGAAAATAAACTTTTTCTTTATAAATGCCTGTTGACCTGTGAACTTGTGCAAAAGGAAACGACCTCTTTGACCCAAGATAGATAGATGCATCTTCACCACGATGGCCAGTCCCTACCGAGCACCTGCTGTGTGCTGGGCCCCTGCTAAAGTCCTGGACGACTTAGCCCGGAGAGAGACCCAAGGGAAGAAGTAGCTCCTCCAGGAAGTGTCTTTTCCCCTGACTGTGCCAGTGCGGAAGAGCAGGCCCACCTGCGGGTAATCATCTGTGTGCAAAGTGGGGCTTGGACTTCGGGTGATGCCTCTTCCTGCACAAGCAGAAAATGTAAAGCCAGTGTGCTGGAGAGAGCCCCTAAGCTACAGGCGCTGCTTGGTGGGAGAGGGGACTGTGGAGGTGATGACTGCTGCTGCCCAGGGCGGGACTCCAGGGGGTCCCAGTCACCGAACACAGCAAAGGCTTATTTCGAGCTCAGGCCGCAGTGCACTGCAGGTCAGGACCTTTTGGTGGTTCTCCCCGCCTGGTGACCAGCAGAGCCCGGCTGCTTGCATTTGAAACCCTGCCTCTTGGAGTTCTGTGCGTCTAGCCATGCAGTTAGGGGAAAGAGCACCGAGACTCATGTTCACCTTTAACTGCCTCTGGCTGCGATCCATCACGTCTGTTCACATTCCAGTGGACACGGCCCCACCCCAAGTGTCGGGGGCTGGGAGGTAAAAGGTGCACATGTCCCTGGTGAGTGCTGACTGTCCACCACAAGTCCTGGCCACTAAATTCCAGTGTCTGCGGGTCCAGAAAACACTTCACCTGGGCTTGCTCTGTCTCCTACCTGGACTCAGAGGAGACTGATGGGTTCACTGGAATGCAAGTGTGTGGCTTTACGAGAATTACCGCTGTGGAGCAGGCCAGGTCACTCTCGCTGGCCAGTTAGCACGTTGAGTCCTAGGAGAATCTACACGTGAAGTCAAATTACGGTCAGGAATGGCTTCCTGAGCATGAAATCCATCGGGCAGTGGCATGGTTCCAATGGCGAGTGTCGAGCTGCCACACAGCCGTCTCTGAAAGATGTCCTCTAAACAACCTCTGTGGGCCGTGGTTCAGGACCCTCTTCCTTGGCAAGGCTGGACACACCTAGTAAAATCTCTTCAGACCCCGAACGTGAATCGGAGCCCGGGGCTGGGGCCCAGCACGGTTTCTGGTGGGTTCCCTGGGAATTCGGTTGGCTGAGTTTAGAAGCCATTGAAAGAATAAGGTGATGCAATCCAGCCGGCTTCCACTTGGCTGGTTAGGATCACATTCCACACATGCTTTCTGGAGACAACACCCACATCACCCTAATAGAACACGGGTGTTCCCAAAACTCATCAGATACTCATTGACCCAGGGCCCTAGGAGAATGTTCCTAGAACTGGCAGTTTTTACCCTCATTTTGCTCGCAGAGTAGCAACCCCGAGGCTGCGAGGGATCCCAGATCACACCTCCAGTGGGGTGTTTTGCAGGGAGTGCGGGCTTGCTTTTGTTGACGCCTGGGGAAGCCCCTCTTGGCAAGATGCTTGGAAGAGGCGGCAGCCAGCAGAGCTTGGAGGACGACTGCGTTTAAAAAATACCTTGTTTGTTGATTTTACAGAGAGAGAAACACCGATTTGTTGTTCTGCTTATTTATGCATTCATTGGTGTATGTGCCCTGACTAGGGATTGAACCGTGACCTTGGCCTATCAGGAGACAGGGCAGGATGGCTGCATTGTAGGATTTATTTCTTGGTGAGAAAGGTCTTTCCAAAGGAGGTGACCACCACCAGTGCACAAAGCGAGGCCTGTCCAGAAAACACCATCCACTCGTCACACACTGTAACGCAAGGGAACCGTGTACGTCTGCACCTTCTGTGCACCCGCATTTTACATAAGAGACTCCTTTGAGTCCTCTAAGTGGCCCTATTGATATTATTATCCTCAGTTTACAGACAAAGAAATAAGACTGCAGAGTAGCATTCCTTCGCCCAAGGTTACAGCTCAGAAGGGGTGACGCTGGGTAGGTATTGCTCCTTCCCCACCTGCTGCCCCCACCCCAGAGCTGCCCCCACCCCAGAAACAGAAAGAAGGAAGCTGGCACTGCATCTTGATCTCACAGGAGTCTGAACCGAAGCCTCCAGCCCCCGGGAAGTCTGAACCACGTCCCTGCTCTACAGGCTATCTGGGTGACACGGGCGTTTCCCTCCCCCAATCCGTGCTCCCCATGTTTTGTTTTGCCTTTTAAAGGGAGACTCCTCATGTATCCTCAAGTACTGCAAAGGATCCTGTTTCAGCCTGAAGTT